AGGTTTTTGTATATAAAAAACAAGGACAGGATGTGTGCGAAGGATGTGTTGCGATTGCGAGGCCTGTGTGCGAGCTATGTGTTATCTACTACGCTACGCATCCTCGCACCGCTCAGCGGCCTAGCACATTTCTGGTGGAAACGCTCACACCGTTCAACACGTTCCCATGTGTTCTGCTTTGTTACAGATTATGAATTCTTATTTAAACATATTTCGTGTATCGAGAAGGAAGTATGGGCGGTGAGGTGTGACGGCACTTTGCAGCGACGGTTGGGTGTGACAGCAGATAACCCTACGGGTACAACATGGCAATCGGTGCTTACTGGAAATTTCGTACACGTATCTGCTCGAGGCGGCTCCTTTGCATAAGTTAATAGGGTTTGTAGAAGGCCATTTCAGTATACAAGTGTATGAAGTCTTTCAAATTGCAGTTAACTGATATTAGCATGACTGTGCTGTGTTAATCGATCACTAATAAAAAACTAGATAGTAGATACATAATCCCATGCAAAAGTTCTCTAAAAACTGTTGCCAATTGTTTTGACGTAATTCTAGTTGAAATAAATATACATTCATGTAAATTCCACCTTAAATGCATTGCCTAAAGTTTTATTCACAAAGCTACGTACAAAAAGCAATAAAGTTTTATGACCGATACTCGCTGGTCAACCTATATATCAAAACAAATTCAACCTTACATGCATGTTTTAAAGCCAGAATGACAAAGTGCGAATAAAAAGCATTCAAATTTTACGACCCAGGCTCGTCGCTTGGACAAGGAATTAATTTTATTACCACTTAATTTAAAAAATGTTTTACAATGATTTATTGATAAAATATCAGTATTTATTACAATACACTGATAACAAATAAATAATGATAATATTAGTACTTACTGAAAATATGAAATTCCAACCTTTTTTATCATCCTAGATGTGTGATTTTTACACTTTTTAAACTAGCACTGAGGCATGTTTACTGTCGGAGCATTCGAATGCTACTAAATTAAAAGCGCACCCAAATCTTCGAGTGGGCGCTCATTCAGTAAGGACATTTTTTGTCACTGATTGTGTACCTATCTAGTTTTTTATTAGTGTCGATGGCTGTGTTAATTAGAAATAAATCCCCAGAAGTATGTAGTTAAATCAAAAGTTTAACTTATGCCGTCTGAAGACTTTTTTTTTGAAGATAACAGACAGTAGCTATATAATTATTTTTTAATTTAATTATATCCACGGCAAAAAAAAACTGATATGAAGGCTCTCCTGGATTTTCTTTAGTAACAAATAGTAGCAATGCCTCCATTAATTGGCCTAAAAATATTTTCATAATTTGTTCATATTCATGTTGGAGAACTTCATCTGGCTTAAATTAATCAATAATCCACTATAAGCTACTGCCTTTTTCCTTTCATAATTGGAATTTTTCTATTTAATAGATTCACGTTAAAAATAATTTTAAGCGTTAAGCCGCGTCTCCACCAAAGTTTTGTTACCAACTGTAGTGTTGCCAACACCTGTTGGTAACAAATGTTTCTGTAATTACCTAGTGTTGGCAACAAAACTTGAAACGGGAACCGTGTTTCCATTTTCGGCGGCAACATCAAAGGAATACGCAATGTAAAAACCACAAAATGTTGCAAACATTTGGTTGAGACGCTTGTTGGAAACATTTGTCGGCAACATCGGAAACAAATGTTGGTAACTTTTGTTGAGTTGTAAACAGTTGGAAACATAAATGTAGTCAACATTTTTGGTGGCTTTACGATTGTTATAAAGACTTATGGCCAAATGCTCAAACGCTATTCAATTTTAAGATATCGTTAAGTCTCCTGGTGTCACAGTCAATTTGACTTAAAGTGACAGAGATAGCACGAGACTTAACGGCATCTTAAAATTGAATAGCGCTTCAGTATTTCTGCATTAGTCTGTTCAATATCCACAACTCCTCAATACGGTGTAGATTCTTATATTCTAGCAGCAGGTCTTTAAAAACAATGTTGAAATGAATTTAAAATATTCAATTGTATTAATTAAATTTTTACTTAATTTGTTAGCTATAGATATTTACGAATTACGATGCCTTTATCAACTGTTTTAGGCACCACAGATATCTTTCAGTCAACATATACATGTTTCACTTAATTTGCAAACCATAAAGTTCACTCAAACTAATGTACACTAGCGCCGCTCTGGTCGTTTAGTATATTGCTATTTAATACTTTTGGGGACAGCTGTTCAGTTTTATCGCCACATGAGATGGTCCTTCTTACTCCCATAAGATACAAATTAACAGGGCAATTGATAGTTCTAGTTGCTCTTCTCTATGCTAAAATTTTTAAAATTAAACCAATATGAACTTTTTGATATTACATCATTTCAATTTATTGGCTTTCTGCTAGATATGATTCATCATTCATGGATTTTTGAAGAGTAATTGACATAACTACTCTACTTTAAATAAGGCATTGGGATCTAAACCAGCACAAATTAAATAAAAAAAGAAACATTTACAAGTATTTAAATGGAAAATTTATTTTACTGCCTTACATTATTCGTATCTTTTCACCGTTCTGAGTTGCGACTGTTATATACTAATTTCAGTGTGCTTGAATATTAATATGCTTGCTTAAAAATATTGTTGTAGTAAACAAAGCAAGTTAATCAATATGTTAATTGTAATAAAAAGTAATGCAAATAATTTAAAACATTCCCTAGTAAAAGATCTCTTATATTATATTATTTTTTAGAATGCTCAAACCACGATTTTATTTAAATATTTCTTGTTTACCTTATACAATGCAGATATAATATAATTTGTTTATAAGCAAAGTTTTTAATTGTGTACATAATCGCTAGTCATTTTATATTTATTAAATGTTCCTTTTAAACATTTAAGTAAAGTAAAGCAAAAGTATTAAAATGTGTATGTGTAGGTACCAAAAATGTAAACTTTTATTAATAAGATAATAAACATTGCCTTTCAAGATGTTTTTGTCATTTTTTAAACTGAAATGGGTCCCAAGTTGGTGTTTTGCCTTCACGGAGCATCAATATTTCGAAGTGAAAAAAATATTCCTTTTTTTTATCGACAGTTAAAAATTAAACTTGTGCTGAAACACGATTAACACAACTTGATTCGATCCGAAAAAAAATCGTAGTTTCCATAATACCTTTTTTATCTTGTGACTCGGAAAGCCCAACGTTAACCCGAAGGTCAAACGACGAGTACAACTCGGCTGAGCAGCATTTGGTAGATTAGGTACGACCTACCGTAGTTCAAACAGTAACCGACATAGCCCAATGGGTCGGTAAGCTGAAAGTGGCAATGGGCCTTCCATATAGCTAGAAGAACCGACAACTAATGGGGAATAAAGGTTCCTGGGAGGCATCCTCGTAGCCGGTAAGCGAACTCTCACTAGATGGAATGACGAAATCGAGGAATACCGTGATATTTGGCATTCCTTGGGGAAGGCCTATGTTCAGCAGTAAATTTGTTGATGAAAATGAAGCTTCAATGATGATTATTGCGGCAGTTGAATCATGCTTATGTGTAATAATAACTACATGCATACAGCATGCAGCAGTTATTACAACAGTTCCCTATGTTGAAAAAATTGGCTAAGGGATTCTACGATGATCACCCTCTTAGATCTGTGCAACTAAAAGAGAATCTGGTGTTTTTATTCTGAAATTGAAATACGAGCATGATTACAACATTTAATAATAAAGCTAATTATCAATGTTGCAGAATACGAAAAAAAGTGGTATGTTGAAGTTCATCATCATCATTACAGCTTATCAAAGTCCACTGCTGAACATTGGTCTCCCTCATAGATTGCATCGTAGGGCGAATATTTGCCACAGTTGCCACGTGAGCAGTGGGTTGGCAACCGCAGTTTTTTTTTTATTAAATTGTGTTTTTATGGAGGAAGATGCTGCTGCCTATAATAATAAAAAAAAATACTTGGCTCCGAACATGCTTTTTCTGGATACTGGAAGCATTTTTGCGGCGTTATTAACGCATGCTCACACTTTTGTGTCTAGCTGGTGAAAGAACAACCAATGGCAAGGACTATTTTGTGTGTATTGCGTCTATACTCCTACTTTAAATGTGAGTGTGAACACATTGGAGGGGCTTTCAGTTTAAAGTAAGATGATGTCTACTTGTTAACGAGACGCAAAGGTAACGTATCAAATTGTATTGCGTTGTGAAATTACAAACGATATTTTTTGTAACTTTTTGTGAATTTCTTTTTATAACAAAATCACTAGTCAGTCTCATTGCGGTGTGTGAGGTAACGTTTTCACACCTATACACAATATTATAAAACACCCTTAAGTAAATTTCATCATGTTTCTTATTTTGTGACTACAAGAACCTAGCATTCCTGTGTTAGGTTTCCTATGAACAACGCCCGACAAGCAGGCTTGCCACGGCTCACGAAGCGAAAGAACGAATTAGAACAACCTTGTAAACTTATTTCGAATAAATGAGGTCATTTTAGGGCCACATCATTACTCAATACTTAATCAATACAAAATTTCGTAATAATTATGACATTAGTTTAAAAAATAGTTTATGTAATTTTTTATAATACATTTTGTTGACATATACATTATTTTGTGTACAGACCATTTTAAGTGTGGTCACGCATTGATCATTAGCAGCGATGATCCTAGTGAGAATACTAGATTATAGTATATTTAGTTAATTATTACATTTTCATCAGTTCTTAACACTTCGGCAATATAACAGAATTATTCAGACTTTTGAAAGTGAGTGAAAACTGAATTAAAAATCTCATTACATACATACATACATTATGGTTACATAAAGGTAAAGCTAATATAAAGCGTATAAAAACACTACTTATAATATTAATGTGCAAAAAATAAAAATAAGTGGACCTAATGCCTAAATATTAAACCTAAATATTGTATATTATGTCAATAATAAATGAAACAATTGTATCGTGAACACTTGTATTACTTAGCAGATTACAGTAAATAATCCAACTCGTATCTAATAAAGTGGTTATTTGGATCGTTTTGTATCCTCGGATATCCTGCGACTAAAGAATCTTGTCCTCCTATATACAATGTGTTGTAAATCTTCCAGTAAACATCTCGGACTTTCCTTGCTGGGTGAAATAAACCCTAAAATAAAAAATACTATTCATTACAAATTGTTTATCAATCAATCATTCAACAATATCCTTTTTTTTTGGGTGTACTTGTGTATTTTAACTAATTTGTAAACCATTAAAATACACTACAATTCATTTCCGTTTTCATAATTTGTGGTTTTAGTTTTATTTCATAAAAATTAACTCCATGGAAAGATATCTCTAAATATACATTCTATTATTTTAATTCAACATTTTTTCAAAGATCCACATAATTTTACAAAAATCCAACGAAAATTCTAAAGATGTAAGCTTTTCCAATATTTGCCGCTAGAAATGAAATAATATAGTAGTAACATATTATCTTCTGACTGTCACAAATCCAAAAGGAACAATAATTTTATTACGCAAGCATTTGTGAATGCAGTGGAATAATTTCAAGTTAAGTTAACATTGTATTTGTGCGTGCAAAGGCGCATCTATCTCATCGAAGTTGCCGTTTCAAATTCAAACAACACTAATTTAGTTATTCCCAAAATAGAAGCATACATATTATATAGCAACCACCTCTTCGTCGGGGTGAGCCAAGGTTGGTGCATATAACTGTGTGGCCTTCGGCAAATACTGTTTGATAATTTTGAGAATAAGGTAAGTACGCAATCTTCTTGGAAGAGGTGGTGGCCCTCCCGGTGATAGAACAAGTTATCAGATTGGAGGATTACTGTGTCCTCCCCATTTTCGGACTTCAGATAATCTTATAACATCCCAATGTAACTTGTCTATCTTTTCCTCCAGCTCTAGAATCTTCTCGTTTGAGCTCAATGTGCATATGTGATATGTTGCTAATCGTCATTGGTGGCAAGCAAACCTCCACAGGACGAAAAGTTCTCTGGCATCTCTGGCATTCTCTGGCTGGTCTCCTTGGCATTTCTTGAAGGAGGCCTATGTTCAGCAGTGGACGTGTGAAGGGCTGTAATGATGATTATGAAAAAAAAACCCTCGTTCGGGACGCAGGTGGTGAGGACATGCGAGAAGTGGGGCTGTTTTGAGGTTTTCTGTGAGTGATGTTGTCATGATTGAAAGTAATTTTGAATAAAGAAAATTTCAAAAAAATCTTAGAAGAGAAAGTTCTAATAGTGTCAATAATCGGGAATTCATTTAACTTTCGAGTTTCTACGAGGGTGGATTGAAAAGTACTCGGCCTAACCAAGAAAATAAACAAATACTAAATCAGTTATATTTTTATTTTTCTACATAATCACCATCAAGTTCAATACACTTTTGCCACCTCCCCTTCCAAGCATTTAGACCGTTGAAAAAAAATGATTCTTCCTTAGAGTCAAAATATGCGTCTACAGCTGCTTTGACCTCGTCGTTTGTCGAAAATCTTTGACCTCCCAAGTGCTTTTTTAGGTTAGGGAACAGAAAGAAGTCTGATGGTGCCAGATCAGGTGAATACGGCGGATGCGGTAACAGTTCAAAGCCACAGTTGTGAATTTCAGCCATTGACTGTACTGACGTGTGAACACGGGCGTTATCTTGATGAAACAGGACTTTTCTTCTGAGCATTCCTCGACGTTTTTCTTTTATTTCCTCTCGTAAACGACGTAGTAAGGTGCAGTAGTAATCAGAGTTTATATTCTGACCCTTTTCAAGATAATCAATCACAATCACACCTTTCGAGTCCCAGAATACTGAAGCCATCACCTTATTTGCCGACAAAATCGACTTAGCCTTTTTAGGGGGTGGTGAACCAGGTCTTCTCCACTGTTTTGATTGTTGTTTTGTTTCCGGTGTTCAGTAATGAACCCATGTTTCGTCCATAGTAACAAAACGATTCAAAAAATCATCTGCATCAGCTTCAAATAACTCCAAACAGTCGCGTGAAATAGTCAATCGCGTCCTTTTTTGTTCAACTGAAAGCAGTCGCGGAACCCACCTCGCAGAAACCTTGTGGAAACCCAACTCGTTGACAATGATGTTTTGAGTTCGTTCATAAGAGATGCCTATAATCTCGGCTATCTCTCTAATTTTTAATCTGCGGTCTCCCATTATTAAATCAAGTACTTTTCTAATATTTTCGTCAGTAGTTGACGTCGAAGGCCTTCCAGAGCGGGGTTCATCTTTCACACTCTCTCTACCACGCTTAAATTCTGCTATCCATTTTTTGACGGATGAATATGACAGAGCACAATCGCCTAATGTACTGACCATGTCATCATGGATGGCTTTTGATGATAGCCCCTTCTTATGGAGGTACTTAATGACGGCACGCTGCTCGATTTGCTCCATTCGCGGAAATTATGTCCGATTACTTTGTTAATAAATTTATAAAATCACAACTAATTATCGCACACGTTTCGAACTTCACACAATGAACTAGTCTGAACTGAACTAAATAATGTGGGTAGATTTGATTTTTAGAATTGAATGGATCTGTGTTAGGCCGAGTACTTTTCAATCCACCCTCGTACTTTTAAACGAAGAAAAAGAAATATTATAGACCATAAATTTGCACCTTAAATAGCCTGATTTGACCCCAAAAGAATTGTTATGGTACCAAAATAAATAACGTTATGAGAAAGAATTTTAATGGCTTTTTTATTTTTATATACCTGCAGAGCATATTGTAAGATTTTAATAGGGCCAAGTGCAACTCGCATTCCTTCAACGGCATCCATGAATGCTTGTACGAGATGTGGCGATGTCTCGAAGATGTTGGGCCAAACATGGTTTAATAAATGTATCAGGGCATCTTCACACCCAAATCCGTAAACTCCTAATGCCATATGTTTAATAGCAGCGCACGCTGTTTGCCGATGCACAAGATCTCTGAAAAAATTAATAAAACTTACTTTAAATTAATAATAATAGCACTACTACTAACATGGTTTGGCCTCACAGGCTAATGTTATCGAATATCTTGAAATCCGTTTGTATATCTTTCTGTATTGTTCCTTATATTATACTTTTCGTTTCTGGCATTAACCGATTCGTTGCGGCACCCATTCTCGACAACTTTTAGCTGTGGCGGCGAACAAATATTTCATGACACGCCGGGCGTGTCTAGCGCCACAGACAATCAAAAAAAATTTGACATCAAACATAAGTTACAAATGGAAGGATACTTGTTTTTAGTGGGTAACTACGTGTTATTTTATGCGTTTTCTTTGAAATTGAGAGAAAGTGACTTTTTTTATGAAGAGATTACAAACCTTTTGTACTATTTTTTGTTGTTATAAAAAAATCATTTATATAAGTAGGTACAGCTAAATCACCCTGGAAACCTTGGTTTTTATTAAATTAAATTTTCACGTAATAATAACATTTGTAAATATCAAACAATGAAGAACCTTAATATGAAAAAAAAAAGGTATATTATTCATTGATATTTACAAATGTTAAATATTATTTAACGTTATACAAATGTAAAAGTAAAGTCGATCTGAAAACGTCTAATTAGTAAGAATAGCAAAACAAGTGTTTTCAAAAGGAAAAAAACGCCGGCGCTATACGGCGGCGGATTGACAAAAGACTATTTTTTTTTTTTAAACCACATAAAATACTTTAATTTTTAGTTTAAAAATTCAAAATACAGAGATATAATAATAATAATAATAAATAATTTATTGCTTTAAAAGAAGTAGTAAGTTGTTACAATATTGTTGGGTACTCTCTTTTAGGTAAATAGATACCTGTAGTAGAGGGACCCGCTCTTCCGTAGTACAATAATATTATTACTTTAAATTATAATTAAAATAATAAAAAAAAAAAAATCTACACAATTTAAAACATGCAGTAAGGTACAATTAATAATATTTGTGTGATTGTGTGTGTGTGTGATTGTGTGTGTGTGTGTGTGATTGTGTGTGTGTGGTGTGTGTGTGTGTGTGTGTGTGTGTGTGTGTGTGTGTGTGTGTGTGTGTGTGTGTGTGTATGGATGACTGTGAGAAGTCTGTAAGTGTGATAATTTATAAGGCACTGTTTTCTAGAAGGGATTCAGTTTCTTCATAAGTAAGTTTTCTTAACCAGTCTGCTACGGTTTTTTTACAGTCATGGTAATTCATAGGATAAATATTGATTTTTTGGTTTATTTTATTATATAAGTAAATTGAAAGTCTTGTATACTGTCTTGATGCAAACGTAGTCTTAAATGAATCTTCGTAGGGTACTGTATATTTTCTACGTCTAGTCGTTGATGACGGTTGATATTTTAGGGAACTATGAAGTTTTAAAACGGTTGCTAAAATGTAAAGTTTTCTTACCGAAAGTAAATTACTCAATTCATAGAGTTCAGTTGTAGGGAATCTATAGGGCTTTAAGAACATAACTTTAATTAAGCACCGTTGAGCTCTTTCAAGCTCAAGGAACCTGGTTCTTGCTGCACCACCCCATATAGGAATACAGTAGCCTACCGTTGACTGAACCAGAGCTATGTATATTTTATTAAGTAAGGACTTCGTGGAGACATGTCGTAGTGACTTAAATATCCAAATAAGTTTCCTGAGCCGAGTTGCCATTAATTCTAGGTGTGAATACCAAGACAGTCTTTGGTCAACCATTACTCCTAGATACTTTATATTTGAGACTTTATTTATTTGAGAGCAGTTACAACTAGAGCTTTGGACGACAGAGCATTCGTGAATTTTAATTTGAAAATCAGGTGTAGGTTGAGTGCTGTTGTACATGGTAAAGCAAATATATTTAGTTTTGGATATATTCAAAGTGAGTAGATTCTGATTGAGCCAATTCACCATCCTAGCAAGACCTAATTCTGCTGTTTTCCTTACAGAGTCCCATGTATCTCCTGTAAATACAATAGCTGTGTCATCTGCATAGGAAAAAATCTGCCCATTATAAAGTTTCATATTACACAGTTCATTAATGTATATCAAAAACAGAGTTGGGCCCATCACACTTCCTTGGGGGACTCCATAGTTGACAGTTACAGTTTTACTTACAGTTGTTCCAATTTTTACCGACTGTTTTCTGTTTCTAAGGTAGCTACCAAAGAGAGAGAGAGTTTTATCCCTTAAACCAATGTTTTCTAGTCTTTTTAGCATTATGGGTACGGAAACTGTATCAAAAGCTTTCTTTATATCCAAAAATACTGTTATACATTTTTTATTTTTATCGATTTCCCTTACAATGACTTTAGTAAGATCCCCAACAGCATCTTCAGTGGATAAGCCGTGACGAAAACCATACTGTGACTTTGAAATTAAGTTGAATTTATTAAGATAGCTTACTAGTCTTTTATTTAATATTTTCTCCATAATTTTTGAAATTGACGTTAATACTGATATTGGTCTATAATTTGTTACTTCATCTCTGTTTCCACTCTTATATACGGGTGTGATTATAGATTTTTTTAAGGCCTCCGGAAATATACCCTTTTCGAAGCTTAAGTTTATTAAATTACTAATTGCAGTAGCGACAATATTTTTAGACTTCTTAAGAAAATTAGTCGATATGTTATCCCATCCTATTGCGCTATTTGAATTTAAGGTCATAAGTGTGCTCTCTACTTCTGCTGGATCTGTATTTAATAAGACAAATGAAGTGACATGAGAGTCAGAAATAACTGAGTTAGTTAAGGTTTGGTTGTTTCCACCATTGATAATAGCTTCGGCGAGAGATTTACCTATTTCCGAAAAGAAGCTATTGACCTGGTTGACTGATTGCAGAGGATTTTGTGTTAGGTTAAGAAGGTTAGAGCTAGGAATTCTAGGGGCTTTAAATTGCGTTATGTCGTTAATTGTGTTCCATAATAATTTTGTGTTAGTCGTAGAAAGGAGTAATTGTTTTTTGTAATAGTCACGTTTCAATTTTTTTATCAGGTTGTTACAAAAATTTCTGTACCTTTTATATGTAATTTTTAAAATTTCATCACATGGATTGCAACGTAGCTTTTTCTGCATTCTATTTCTTACTCGGATGCAGCGTAAAATTCCCTCAGTTACCCACGGTTTGAGTATGCGTTTATTACTAGTAATGGGAGTGATTTTGGTGTTTTCTTTTAGGGCTGTTTGAATCTCTTCAATAAGTATGTTCGCGAAGGTATTAGGGTCGCTTTGATTGTCTAGTTCTGAGAGATTTTGTGCAACTAAACTATGGCAAGCCTTGTCAAAGTTTATGACAGTTTTGCTAAGCCTGTTCTCATTATGATTTTTAGTAGAAGAAATCGATAGAAATATCGTGAAGTGATCAGTTATTGTCGTGTTAAGAACAGCAGCAAAGGCAGAATACTTCGCTTTTTCAAGTTTTATAATAAAGTGATCAATGCAGCTACTTTCCCTTGTTGGTAAGTAGTGTCCAGGAAGTAGTCCGTGAAGGGATAAAGCATTAAGATAATTAAATCTATTATTTCGCTCATATGTTTGTTCAGATGTTTTTGGAATTATGTTTATGTTTATATCACCTGTCAGTAAAATATTTCGTCGAGATTGAAGCTGATCTAGATGGTTGTTCAGAGAATTAATAAAAGCTTCAGCATTATTATTAGCCGGTGATCGGTAAACGCCTAAAATCGCGAAGTGAGCCGTAGTAATTTGAATACACGAAGCATCTGATAATATTATTTCGTTAACTTGGGCTTGAACGCCATTTTTGATAAATGCGACTACACCATCGTTTTGATTTACGTGATTTGTCGTCGAGTACATTTTGTAATTATCAAGATTTGGAATAAGTTTATCTCTGTCAATTTATTTATTAGCGAACTTTTATGCATGAACGGTTTCGAACTGTTTCAAGCAAAAATAAACCTTATACCATATCACAAGAGCACATGGTACTTCGTAGGTCTATTCGGCCATATGATAGTAATAAGACGGCAGTTCAACCATTTTAAGCAATTTTTTTTTTATAGGATCGGGTGACAAACGAGCACACAGTCCACCCGATGGTAAGTGGTTACTGTGACCCATAGATCCTCAATAAAGACTCAAGATGCAGATGCGTTGTCACACGTAAGGACAAAGATGGAATGCCTCTTTGCCAGTAAAAAGGGTCTCCGGTTCTCTACACTTACCATACGAAACAGCAGCGTTAAGCTGCTATTTTACGCTGGTTTTCTGTGAGAGCGTGGTCCTTCCCCGGTCGAGCCGACCCATTCGTGCTACAACCATAATATAGCTGCAGCATGGCTCTACCACGCAAAATTAAACAATAAGACAAACGCATTGTTTTTTTTAACAGGAGACTTCTTTTCCAGAAAAATATTTACATCTTGAGTTTGTGAGCGATCGCAATGAGTGCTATTATTTGTTACTTATTAGACAATTTTTCTATAACATGATTTAAAACCCACAAAGTAAAAATAGTACCATGTACACGTTAAAAAAAGGTTGTCAACCCCTAAAAATTTCAAATTTTCAAAATATCCAGAAACGAAGCTGCATGCATGAACTACTCGCAAAATAATGAATATTTTGTTCTGGATAAATTTTCCAAAAAAGCAATTTGAGCGAGTTATAACGATTTTTAAAAAGACACGACTCGCGTGTCATACGCTACACACAAAAGTAATCGATGGCACGCCTAGCGTGTCACCCGCACTGAACCGGTTAATCATTTCGACGTAAGAAAGCATTTTTGCTATAAGTAGACAATATACCGACAAAGTATTTTCATCAGACTCTTGTCTCTCTAGTGAAATTAAAAAATGCATGAATTTTTATTTTTATTGACAAGATTAAATGTTTTAATGTAGCCCAAAATTGGCTCAATTAAATTATTTTTTACTTATTTAAAGCATTTTAATTGTACATACACGAATTAGTCCGTATTTAAAACTCGAGGTTTTTTCCGTGTTTCAGAGGCTTTTTTTTACATATTTAGAAAGAACATTTTACCATATAATGAAGAAATCTATTTGAAAGCAAGTTTTGTAATATTTTACCTGTCCATTAGCGCGTCTTCAAGCAATGGACACACTGCATATATGTAATCCTTGCCCATTTCTCCAATGTATTCAAACAAGAATGACAATGACTTTAGTACACCATTTTGTACATTTAACTCTGGAACTCTGTATTCATTCATCAACGCAGGTAAAACTGTAAAAGGTGAACATGTCTCCGCAACAATAGCAATCGCAACGGTTGTACACACTCTGAAAAGCAAATAAATAATTATTTTAAAAGTTATATTGATACATCTTGCAAATAGTAAGAAAGAGTACGGCGGAACAAGTGGGTGTCGTAAGAGGCGACATGCAGTAACAAACCAGGAGATTTGCAGCATCTTCCAAATAAAAATTAGAAAATAAAATGTATACAATACTTATATAATATAATTCAATATGAAACTTTATTTGACACAAACCTCTCCTTTTTGTTTTCTTGCAATACTTGATTTAAGATTGATCAAAGTTAAGTCCATCAATTATAAAATAAAAGGACAAAAAATAATATGTCCATGTTGTCCAGTCACATGATGATAACTGGGAACTTCATGTTACTTTACTTACATTAAATAAAATATTTTTTATTAAGCTTTCTTTTGATGCAAACATTGCAAAAGTTTTGAAAAAAAAAATTAATAGCAACTCACCTGTTCTGCCGTTCCTGGACCTTTAAATTGTTGAGCAATGTTGCCAACACGTCATGTGGACCGATAGCCTTTGCTATATAACCGAAGGTGTTCACTGTAGCTCTTCTAATGGCTTTTTTGTGCGCTTTCAACAGTTCCAGTAACTCAAAGCATATTCTCATCCACTCTCTGGCTGACACAAACTCTGGTCCTCTGTCTGCGATACGTCCAACAAGATCAATACAATTCTCTTGTACTTTTTCATGTCTAAAACAAAAGAAGAAAATTTACAGCTCGATTCAAACTTAATGGCGGTTCGGAAGTTAGCTGCGAGTGCAGGTGCGCGCAGGTATTTTAATAACTGAAAGTTTTGTGTTTTAAGTTCTGTACATATGTACATAAATGTCAGTTAGCAAGTATGAGGAGGGTTCAAGGAAGAAAAATACAGATGAATTAAGAACCTCTTCCTTTTTTGAAGTCGGTTAAAAATAAAACAGATTTTATAAATAATATATAAAGTTTTTATTTTCATTTTAAGTTAAGGGCTGTATCCCTTCCATAAAAACGTCTTTGCTTGTGGAAGGAGCTTCCATGGAAACATCACTTCCTTCGTCTTCGCTGGAATCTGATTCCTCCTCAGACTCGGTATCTGATTCATCGTCGCTGACATGGATTATAAATTCGTCCGTCAATCTATCAACGACAACGTCACTTTTTTTGTACTCTTCCTCTATCTTGATCACTTTTCGGCACAATGCCCCCCATTCATTTTCCCCCATTTCGTTAACTTTTTGCTGGACCAATTCCATGACTGAATTTACGTTCCTGTTAACGTTTTTTTTTGCGACGTATTGTTTTATTGCTGCCCATGCCATCTCGATGGGGTTTAAATCGGGGTGGTAAGGGGGGAGGCGTAAAACTAAGTGGTTATTCTCTTTCAATATTTTATCGATGTTAAATTTTTTGAAGCATTCTTTATTAACTTGTATAGTTGTGGCTTCAGCATTGTTTCCTCAAATTCAATATTTTTTTCACGAAGCCATGATTGCATGTCTGCTTTTCTTGAGTTTGAGGTAGGTGCAGGATCTTCTTGTTTGTTGTGATAAGAAGCATTATCTACAACAACGACTGAATTTGCTGGCAAATTTGCAACGAGTTGATTCTTGATCCATTTTTCATAATTTTCATAATTCATGTTATCATGATAGTCGCCGGTTTTTGTACCCGCCTTAAACATTAAAAGTGCGTTGGGTACAAAACCGACTTCAGAACCCGCGTGCACTATTACAACTCTTTGACCCTTCGAAATTTTCTTTTTAACTCCCATTTGTGACCCATCTCCCCAAGCCTTTGACATGCTGTGGGAAGAATCGACATAAGACTCGTCGGTATATATAATGGGTCTGCCTTCCGAGCGATATTTTGTAATACTATGCAGATATTCAATGCGCTGTAAACGAATATTAGACTGCTCTATTAATACTTTTCTCTCATTTTGGGTGTTCTTCCATTGAAACCCTAATTGTTTCAATATTCGGCCTAAGCTGGTTACAGAACCGTTGAAATTTATGTCGTCTTTTAATTTTCTTTGTAATTGTTTAAGTGTTGGCAACTCTTTTTCAGTCACGTGAAAGTTGTGCACGCACCTTTTGATGACACCTTGGTCGAAGCTGTCAATATTCGTCACTCTCTTGACTCCCTTCCTTTTTTTGCCAGGAGTACGAAAGACGGCTAGCATCTCCGACTCATTTGCTGTTGCAGCTATTCTTTGTACAGTCCTTAGTGAGACGCCTGTAGCTGCTGCGGCTCGTTTTTGAACGAGCTTCAGAGGAATTTGGTCGCCGTCTTCACTCTCCTTTTTCATAAATTGCACGACATTATACACCATTTTTCTGGCTTGCCTGCGTAAAACGTTGTATCGTCCGCGTGGCATATTTAAACAAAATAATAAAAGTACTTTCCCACAACCAACAACAGTCTAAAACTTAATGTGTGTAACACACAGATGAAAACAAAACAGTCAATAACAATAAAAACTTAACGGAACAAAAACAAACAAAAAAACGTAACAAAACAATTAACAAACAGTAACAAATTATGGGCTCAACTGTACGTAAGCAGGAGTGAACGTAACTCAAACACTAAAAGCAAACGCGTCGCGTGAGTGCGTATGAGACAGAATACGCGGGGATGTGCCCCGCCACCACGTCCCTCTACATCCCGCCGATACCCAAAAATTGTGTTCTGCGCATCGGAACGTACGATGTTCCGAGCCGCCATTAAGTTTGAATGTATGTATATAAACAACTATTTCTTTTACTAAAACTGGAGTTACGGACGATCTTACAGCCCAACTGATTTTGAAATTTTCATTTAACTAGGTTGAAGATGTTGACTAAATTACCTTACCTGTTCTTCAAAATGGGAGTAAGCCTGGGGAGGAGATCTTTAATTGGTGGCGTCATTTTGGTCATACCAATAACATTCACTATGGCTTTTAGCGCCCCCAGAATTGAACCCAGTACTTCTGGATATTCTTCTCCCAAGTACTCATATAGTACTACACCAAGATGTCCCATAAGTTTTTCCTGCAAATATTGATTATTACAAAAAGTATATAACAACAGTTGTATCTTGACTCTAAATTTGATTAAATAATGGAAAATAATTAACAAGATTAGTAATTTCAACACAATTTTAAATAACCATTCTTTAGTAGTCAACCACAACACTGTATGAATAACTCGGAAAGATAAATATTTAATTAAAAAAAAAGCCCAGTATTTTTAATAAAGTATAAAATCGGTTTAATCCAGTGGTACGCCCAGGATCAGAGAAAAAAAAAGAGAAATTAATTGGTACAATATCAAAATTATATGACTTCCCATATAGTTTTTAAGTTATATTTCTACTTCCCTTTGGAATCACTGATGAAATACAGATAGGCACTAATCTTTCATCACTGTAAAATTAATTAAGCACCGAAGAGAGGAGGTCTAGAACGTGAGAGATATCAAGAATCTACTATACTACAATTAGTATAATAAACTAGATTGTGATGGAGTGATTAGGGAGCGACCAAAATCAAAATACTTCAGGTGTGCGTGTACAATATAATATGCATGCGTGGGAGACAAATAGAGCTGCACCATACACTGCCTGCCTTGACGTAAATTATCGATACCGATTGCAGCATATTCGTGTCTTCTGATTTAACGCGGATCAAGTGAATATTTTTACTAGACTACTACGAAGCCAAAAGGATGGTTACCATTTTAGAAGGCTATATATGGATGTATGAACATCTGTTTTGTCATATCTAAACTACTCGTATTTTGACAAATTAGATATCTTTAGAAGCATAGTGCCCGTTCGCGAGTTTTAGGTTGCATGAATTTACATGAAAGCTAACATGGCGGCTTATTGCGGACATAATATAATCCCAAATATCCCATAATAACTAAAACCAAAATGTGATAGGAAACATGTATTAAACAAGAATACAATATCAATTTTTCAGAATATTGCAAACATACACAAACCTTAACTTATTGCTATAATTTAAGATTAAAATAAAAATAAGTTTGTATGTCGCCATAGTCACAAGTTATTACTAAGATTTCCTGAAATATTTTTTAGGTAATAAAAAGAAAAGTACATACAAAATTTATTATATATATATAAATTGTTGTGAATGTGCTCTCCTTAAAGATGTAATTTTGCTATATACTTTTTTTAATAATAATAATAATAATAAAGTTTCAAATCTGTAATTTTATTAAGTGTTTATGGTTGGATGTATCATAGCTTTTCCATTAGTGCACCTCTATGAGAAAAACATTTTTCTTCAAATTACTTGCTGCATATAGTCAAATATTATCTTTTGGAAACCAATTTTTCTTTATTTATTCATTTCAATAATATTTGTAGAACATCAATTTTATATATTTCGTGAAAATCTGCCACAGTATCCTCTCATCATTAGGTGGACTGTGAGCTTGTTTGTCACTTTAATTCTATTAATTTTTGTACTACACACATAGTCAATTAATTACATTTATTAAACACTAATTTTCACCAATCCGAATCAGAGATTTTTAAATACAAGTGAAATTTCTTTTGTTCTCGAATAACGTCAGACCAATACAGGCCGATGGCGTGTACATGAATGGTCTCGTCTATCTTTTTTGCTATAATTTATGCGTAACATTATTCTCTTTCTCTTTCATATTGCCAATCTATTCTAACGTCAATTTATAATAAATCTATGACTATACTACATTAGTGTGGATCATTTTTATTCAAATGAGTGTTTCACATTACTTCGAATTTCCTTTTAAAGTATTAGGGATGCGAGCTGAGCAAAAGTGTTTTCCTTCACAAATAGCACTAACTTGCATTGTAATCTTAGTTTTCGCAGCACCAGAAATCACACATCACCACAAGTTGTAATTATGTTGTAAAAAGGTGCTCAATCCTTAAACTATAGTTACTGACATTTTCAAATTATCATAAATCATGTTATAATAAGGTAAAATAACTTGGCTTGTTTCATTGAAACTGCATATTTTGTTTTTTCTTTAACAAGATCAAATTATTAAAATAACTTTTAAGAGACATCTGAACTGCAAGTAATTTGAAGAATAGGATTTTAACAATCTGTGGTGCTATAGACAACCAAATTATACAACCGAAAGAGACAACTGCAGCTTGGACTAAACATATCTGTGAAAATTGATAAAATCATATTCTCCTATTCTTCCATTTCCTCCTCACAAACAGGAACGATTATATTTTTTTAGAAACAATATATGAATGATTGTGGCTATGTCAGTATGTTAAGTAATTTTAGAGGTTCATAGCTTTTCAAAACATTTACAACATGACAGTGGTTGATTTATATACTGTATTGTAGCAAATTATTTATACCAGTGTTTTTTCATTTTCAGGGAAAAAACAAAGGAATATGTTGTATGGACTAAACGCCGTCAAGATATCTCTAAGTATCTTTGTTTGAAGAATTTTCGACCCCTATTATGACCATCGCAAGGAGGTTCATATTGTAGTACTTAATTTCTTTTTAAGTTCTACAGAAAAGTGTACACGAAAAAGCATGAGCGTAAGGTAGTGTAAGGTAAGAGACAACCGATACAGTGATCAGCCAAATCCTTCCTCTATGGAAGAGGCCCTTGACTAGCAATACACTTTCTGTTTGATGAGAAAGAAGTTTAAATTATCAGCACTGACCTCTTGACAAGTTTTCATAACCACTGCAATACGTGAAATGAGATCGGCAGCCTGTTGACGAACTTTAGCAGACTTATTGTTCATACGCCATAAAATGATACCACAGATCTGTGGCAGATATGGCTTAACGCGTTTTCCCAGTTGGTTTACTATTGTTCCGAATCCATTTAACATAACCACATCCTGAAAATGAGTTAAATCAATCAATATGTATCTAAATTAAGAAACAGGGCCATCAGTTATTATAAAACCTGTTTACTAATTATGTAGACACTTATTATGTTCTAGTAGACCTTTGTGTTTTCCTTGTTTTAGTGGGTAAACAGTACCTATTAAATTTACCATTAATATTAAAAAATAAATTAAAACTTCGGCGCGGCCCCGCAATAGTTTTGAATTAGCAAATTAACAAGTATTTGTATGTTTCATAATTAAGTGTTCTGATTAAAATGTTTGACCATGTGCAATTTATGTATGTTACCCTGCCCTACGATACAGGAGAAATGTTTTGTATAACATTTTTTTAATGAAAAAAGTAAAAATTGTTACATTTGTATGTAATCATATCGCATATCTAAAATTATGATAAAATTATTCAGATTATTAAATTATTATTAACACTTTTTAAACAGATTTTTCAACCACTGATTGTGCCAAGTGTGACAACCATGGCAAATATTCTAAAAAAATAATAATATTATGAGGCAATATAATTTGCAGACCTAGATTCAGCAGTGAACTTTTTATGGGATGGAATGGTAATAGTATCGCTATTACAAGTTCCATTATCTAATTGTATTTCCTCTGGTTTATCAGATATTTGTAATCGGGCTAATTTTAACATTATCGTATCAGCTTTTACGTCTTTATTTAAATACTCGTAATTGTTGGACTATATTTAAATGTAAATCAGGTACAAATGTTTGCTAAAAACTTTTAAGAGGTTTGTATGATAACTTAATTGAATTAATAATTAAAACTAGTTTTACTATCTTTTCACTAAGATATTCCCAAAGCTACCTATGGATGGAACACTTATGGAAATCGACGCGAAATAACTTTAAGAAAGATTGTTTAAACACAGACTTCTAATGCTGGTAATGTTAGTTCAGTTATCTTACCTCTGTAGTTTGTTCTTGGAATGCGTATAGTATACCGTCAATGAGGGCTTCTTCTAATTTTGAGTCAATATCTGCGGCGCCCAAGTTAGCAAGAATTTTCTCAATGGATTCCATAACCATCTTTCTGTACTGTTCATTATCATCTTTTAAGTCATCAACAATTCTGTTAATAATTTCTGAAGCTCCAACCTACGACATAAAGTATACCTTAAAAAAATGTAACTAACTAATAAATGAAACAAACAATGTATCTCTATTAATTTCTTTAATTTGTCCTAAACATACAAACACATGATTTGATTTTATTAAAGTTAGTAAAAGTTTATTTGCATACATCCGTGTAATGAAATAAAATAATGCTCTCTCTCTCACTATCTGCAGTGGTTGACAGCTTAGCGGTGGCTGCCATCGCAATCTACTCCACCTGAGGATACCTCACGTAGAGGTGGAACATGTGTTCTATTATCGATGATGCTGTGTCTTTCCTAGTGTAGTGGTGTTGGGAGTAGTGGTAATGGGATTACTGGAGACGAGGATAGTGCACGCAATTGAGGGAGAGCGGGGAGTACTCTTCAAACTAGGTAAGACATCATTTCATTTCAATACGCGGATGTAAGCAAATAAATTTTCACCAACTTTAATATAATGGATTTCCGCAAAGTAACGCCTGATTTTGCTAACGATACGATTTTGCGAACCATAAAGTGTGTCAACCATGACGATTATGGCAAATACTGAACACTTACTGAAAACGTGACGATGTGGCCACTGTCGCAAATCTTACTGATATAGTAGATGTACTTTTCTTGTGGTGAGCTGTTAAAGAAGAATCTATTAACATACCTTATTTGCAATTTCCACCGTTGTGTCAACTAGTTGACGATAGTTACGCCTGTCCAAAGCCATACGGTGATTCCAGAAGTGTTTGAAGAAATGTGGCAAAATTTCATCCATGATGTACTGAGGCTCTACACCATCAGTACCGCAACACTGTTTTACTACCTAGAAAAAAATTAAGCACTGATAATGTGTTTCAACATCTTATTATATAAAAAGATAATATCAACAAGGTTTAGGAATCATTTTATTTTAGATGTGTTAAAAATATTTACATTTAAAACATGGTCACTTATATTAAATAATACAAATAAATTGGTGCTTCAAAAGTGGACTTGTTGTCAGGCTTGAAATCGTTATTTTACACTTTTAAGTTAAAAACATTCAACCACTCCTGGATTTTCTCTTCTAAAATAATTATTTATTATAAAGAGAGCAGCATCTATGTAAAACCTCTATGGATAAACCGACCATGCAATGCAATGAAATAAACCACTTTAGCTCCAGAGAAGAATCAATAAAAAGTAATATAAAAAAAACAAACCTTTAATACAATCTTCTTCATTTCTTCATCAGGCGATTGGAACTCACGAATAAGAATAAGCATTACTTCTCGGGTGTAATAATTGGCGTACTCGGCGTCCATAAGAGGAATAAGGTAGCCGATAGCTTTTAGAAAAGCAGCCAATCCCTTGCCTCGATGAGTTCTGATACCTTTCCATAGAGGCTTGAGTACAGAGTCAAAGGATTCAATACCATATGGCGTCGCAGCTTCAGCAAGAGCAGCGCTAGCGAGAGCTGTGATTGTACGTACTTTTTGCTGCTCATCTACCAGCCCTGATAAAAGAAATAAAATTATTTTATTATATGGTCTTTTTATTTAACAGCCATGGTAACTTAGAGTTAAGCGCTCTCCCAAATTTCAAAGTTTGAGCATCCCGAGTTCAATCACATCCGCAAGAACAAATTGTTAATGCAAATTTAAATGCTGATTTTCTACCTCTTCGGTGGTGAAAGAAAACGACGTAAAGATATCTGCATGTCTGAGGAATAAAAAAATTTCGAGGATATGTGGACTCTGTCAACACACAATGTATGTACGACAGTAACATCGCATTAACTGTAAATTTTTTTTATAGGATAGGGTGACAAACGAGCACACAGTCCACCACACAGTGATGGTAAGTGGTTGCTGTGACCCATAGACATCTACATTTATTCTCAATAAAGAATCAAAATGCAGATGCATTGTCACCCGTGAGGACTAAGATGGAATGTCTCTTTTCCAGTAAAATGGGTCTCCGGTTCTCTACACTCTCCATACGGAACACAGCAGTGTAAAGCTGTATTTTACGCAATAATAAATAAAGTTGAAGTATTCGTCTGTAAAATTGAAATAACTGCATTTTACCGAGCTCAAGGGATTATTTGCATGTCAGACATGAATAACTATTTGTAAAATTTTCGTCTATCATTCATTTAATTAGCCAGGCTAATCTTTGTAATGACTGAATCAATTGATGAAATTTCACAGAAAAATTGATTAATATTGATGATTATAAAAAATACATCTTAATGACGTCTCATTAGTTCCCACCCAGGCGAAGCATATCGGATCACTAGTAAGAAAAAAAAACAGTATCTAACAAGGAAGCAATATTTGCATTTTATATTTAAAGAAAGTAAAATGTAAACTTACCATGTTCAATGATCTCTACTAAAGATTTTAAGTGTGGCAGAATAGCGCAACCCATCAAAATGGCGATCTGTTGTACAATTTTTATTCCGGTGTGTCGTGCTTGCCAAGACTTCTTAGATCTGCATACGGCTTTCAAGAATGGCAGCAGGGATGGAATACCTATGTTAATAGTTTCAATCAGAAAAACTGTTAGTATTATTGTTGGAACGAAGGTCCTAATCGCACGGTACGAATTTGATGGATGGGGGCTAGGTGAGATAAAGTGTAAGATTTTTCCGTCACGACCCCGTTTCTATAGTGCGAGCGAGATGGAATAATATCTATCACCCTCGCAATGTTTTTTATCTTGCCATGAAAGAAAACAAATATTATCTTGAATGACGCTAGCAATTCATTTATTTGTATTTGTTAATCAATTATCAACAGGAACTTCGTTCTAACCGAGTGTTCCACGACACTCAAGCATGTTTTTTAATTATAAATTACAATAAAATTATTTTATTTAATATAAAGGTAACGACAAGCTTTTCCTACCTAAAGCAGATGCAACAACAGCAAAAGCTCTTGCTGTAGTATTTCGGACATATTCATCAATGTTATCAATATCTGGTCTCATTGTAGAGATCATAGTGGCAAGACCTGCCGCCTTTGCCAGATTAGAAATTATCTCACGACCTTCCACACGCGCGTAGTAGTCTTCATCAATCAGAAGAGGTTCTATTACTACCAAGATCTGTAGGTAAAAAATTGAGTTGCTTTTAATAATCATTTGGTTTTGATGGGCGAAATTGTTATTAATTTATTATTATATTATTGTGCACTTTACCTGCTCATGTATTTTAGTAATTATAAAGTATCTTATCATTTTGGTATACTTACTTTGTGCACATAGGGTCGAACTAGATCGTCCAACTTGTAGAGTATTCTATCAATGACTTTGACAAGCAGATGCCGTTCCTGGTCCTCAAGAGTGGGGCTCATAAGCAGTGGCAGAATCTGGTTGAACAATGGTCCTGCACCGAAATCACGTGCTTTATCCGTTATCTGGCGGAGTGCAGCTTTGCACATCGGTGGAGTGCCGTTCTGGAATGATTTTAAATGTATTTTTAATCATGTAGTTAACAGTCAAGTTTTGATTATCTATAAACTCTAACTATATGCATGGGGCTATATTAATTGATGAAAACATGCATATCTTTCTTCTACTTCAATAAAAATTATTAATTAAATGTAAACAATTTTAGCTACACTTAATTAGTAAATCCTCGAATTCAGGTAATATAAGGCGAGCACCAATATCTGATACCTATCACATGTTTTCACATGTAAAATCTTACCTTAATTTTTAGTAAGAGTTTCATGATCTTCCTCTCTTTGAGTTCCTCCGGCGAGAGCGTGTCCTCGTCGACGTCAATGAGCAGTTTGTCAAAGTACTGAGCGTCCTCAGGCTTCATGAAGGGCAGCTGCTGGCCACCCTTGGGCTGGGGCTCCAGTAGGCGCGCCGCCGCCGCCGCCGAGCCCCCCACTTCCTCCGTCTGCATGAAAAAGCCGATTGGGGTACCAGCCAATGGTGTAGGCGTTGCGGTCAGCTTACGAGCCGGCGTCCGAATCGGAACATAACCTGGGCAACAACATAAACAATCAATAACCAATTCAAACGGAATATTGTTAGCTTAAAGCCCTGGATACACTAGGGGACAATTTGTCCCGCAACATGACGCGGAACACTCAATCTACATGACGATGCAACGTTGCACTGTGACCCTCAACGTTTTACGGACACGTTGCTTGTTCTCGCTCTGAAAGCGAGCGCACGTGTCCCGCGTCAGTGTCGCGTCATTTGTTACCGGGAGTAGTCGTGTGCGCAACGTGCATTGCAACATGTCAGTAGTGTGGGGAAACGAAACCGTGCTTATACTTCTTGAGATTTACCAGGCATGATTTGTTGTGGGATACTTCAAACCACAAACTTCTGGTACTATTCTACCAATCAGTTGTTTCGACTCTCGAAGTGTACGACAAGGAAGCATAAGAATCTCCAGTCGACAAGTATCTTAATACAATGGCAAGTCTGATATGAGGGCCAACGGCGTTCCGTGGCATTGTATCCTGACTATGGAAGATCTGAACATTTGTAATAAAATTTCAAAATCAGATACTGACATTCGAGTGAAATTCACAAAATATCAGACATTCAAAGATCATTTAAAATATTAATTCTTAATATTAATTATTTTTTATTACTTTTTTTTCGTTGTAGTAGGAAATTCCACATTCACTACCTTATCTTTCGCTTACGTTTCACTACTATGTACCCACTAGTCGCCACAACCTCCTCGGGCGACATTTCTATAAGCACTGACTAGTGTGGCCTGCAAAATGTTCCGCGACATATGTCTCGGGACATTCCTCATAGTTGTTGAGCGACATGTTGCGCAACATGCCGCTCCTTTTGTCCCCAAGTATATCAAAGACTTAATGCATGCTTAAAACAGCAAGATATAGAAGCAAAGCTTAATCCAGTCTATCCAACGGCTCTACCGTTAAATTGTCATCATTCATCTGAAAGAAAAATTTAATATTAATCTCTCTGTATGATTTTAAATTAAGCACACATGTGTCTATAACAATGTTACGTTGTTTTATGCCCATGTTGACTTTAATACATGTGTCCTGAAACTGAAGTGGTGATTAATTACTAAAAGTTCACTTTTAAAACTTAATAAAACTCACAATATACAAAATGAACTAAATATATACGAACCAGCAGGCGGCGGTAAAACCTTGTACCCAGGTGGGAACATGGCATCCAATTCTTCATCAGTATAAGGTCTATTTCGTTCATCTATTTCTTTCTCCCAACGGTAGGCTTGTAGCTGTTCTGGCGTCATGGCAGCCACATGACCAGGTGTAGGTGTAGCCATAGCCATAGCTTTGACTCCAACTGGTGTTGACTGTAAAATTAATATAAATTTTAGTCGTCTTTTACTTGTTCATTATTAATAATCATAATTCTACAGTCAGCCATTTTAACACAATTCCATATTTATAGAACACAATATTATATATCACATTGTAACTTCATAAAACTATACTTCGAGAGAAAGATAAGAATGTAGAGTATAAGGAGTAGGGTAATTGTAGGATTATAATGTTGTTACAAAGTTTAAATATTATTTTACAAAGTGTAAATTATTTTACAAAGTCTAAAATAATTTTTTCACTCTAATGCAGTCTACAAGTTTTCAATTTTAGTGTAATCAATCATAGGAATATTTTCTAAAGTAAAATCGCTTTGTAATGGCGCAACCATCTACTTCGTTTTTTAAGCGTAGTTTTAAAGAACAAAAAATGATTGACTGCCAAGGCGGTACGTTAAATAGATGGCCTAAATTTAATATAAATTGGTAGGTTATGAAATCGTGGATTGTTAGTAATGAATTGGATCATAATTTAATTCAATATGGTTAATTTTATTTATTTAATAAATTTGTTATTTTTTAACTGTTTATTTTAACAGTTAAAAGTTATATCGACCATGTTTAAAGCACCGCACAATGAGGAGGCTGAGATAATAGGAAACACTGTACATTGTATTCTATCTTATTCTCTCGCAGCCTAAATCATATAGATGTATATATTTGTTTCTTTTTAGTGTCGCTTTTTCGTTTAATGGAGTTTCAAATCACAAAAATTTAAAAAAGTTTTCACTTCATAAATTAAAAATATATAATAGATAGAACTCTTAGTTAAATCTTCTAACTTGGGTTTGAACATACCATGACCTACTGATCATCCAATCCAATATAACAAATATAATTGTTAGGACCATTTTAGTATAAAAATTAACTGTCTTGTACTTTTATAACGTGTTACTGTTTTTTTCTTAATTATTAAAAAATAAACAAATAAAAATATCTACAAAAAAAGCAGCCAAATAAATAGAGAAATAATATTAGCTTACCCCTCCCGGTGTGAATATTGGCGTGTGTGGCGTGGGCGTGGCATGAGAAGGCGTCGCGTGCGAGGGAGTGGCGTGGGAAGGTGTGGCGTGCGACGGCGTGGGCGTGGCGGGCACGGGCGTGGCTCCAGGCGTCTCGTCCCAGCGCGAGCGTCGTTTCGTGCCTGGCGTTGGAGTTTCCTGGATAGTATCTACGCCCACACCACGGTCCGTACGCGGTGTTTCCGCCCAGCCGCTGTTATGGCCGGGTGTTTCTGTAAATATATCATTATTGAACTATGTCATAATTTGAAATAGAAATGTATACTAAGTTATTTAATATTTTTTTAAATTTTGAATTAAATTAATAATATGTTAGGCTAAAAACCTTCAAAAAGTATTTAATTTAATGGTATGACTTATTATGAAGTACAGGGATTGCTGTTATCTCTGGAGTGTCTTAGAATATATTAGCAACAATACCGATACTAAAAAATAAAATAAAATTTGACATTCTGAAGTGGGGGTTTTAATTCTTTCATAAATTACGTTTTAACACCAACTTCAGAATGTCAAGTATTTTTTTTATTCTTTGAAGTTGGCTTTTACTAACTATTAAAAGTAACTTATTTACCCTTTTGTGGGAACTAAGAAGAGGATATCCATTCATTACAACCTATAAAAGTCCACTGCTGAACATATAGTTCTCTCATAGATTGCCTCATAGTGGGGATATTTGCAACCGTAGTTTTTTATTATATTGAGTTCTTATCAAGAAAATGCTGCTCTGACCGTCTTCTGTTTCTGTTTCCCTCAGTCACTTCTTACAACACCACGATATGGGGTAGTAGATATTCTTATTCCTATCCTTATCAAATCCAGTAAAAACTTACTCCCCCATTTTGCTACCTTTAGGGGTGGAATTTTTCCAAATTTATGCGGGACCACCAATGAACCTTAATCTATGTTCGCGCCACTTTGAAAATACCGCCTATCGCTTATGAGATTCGTTAATTATTATCCAATAAGAGTATAGCAAAGCCCATTTTCGGGTTCCGGGTTTACTATCCCTTTTGCATCTGGTGTAAATGGGATTCATAGAAGTTCAGGAGACACGAAACCAACAGCATCTGCGTCATCGCTCCCGCCTTTTTGTAATTTAGTTATCAAGCTATACAAAAATATCGTAAACCGTATAGACATTTACATTAACGCTATATTTCGTGATTATCTGTGAAATTCGTGGCTGCAACTCTTGAGACACGAGGCAGATTAGCAGAAGCAAGAAGGTGAGTGTACATGCATTCCTTCACATCCTTCTTGTAGCCCGAATTTAGGGACATTTGCTGTATTGCGAAGTAGTAAATTAGCACGCACCCTACAGCCCATTAATTTACGTATAATCATACTTTTCTACCGATTTCAAAAAGGAAACGGTACTCAAATCGACTGTATGTTTTTTATTTCTTTTTTCTTTGTGTGTTACCTCAACTTTTTTTGGGTGAACCGATTTCGATGACTTTTTTTATTTGATTTTTCATATGTGGTCCCATATAAATTTGATCAAGGTTTGACCAACAGTTTTTGAGTTATTCTTAATAATTTATATTGAAGTTGGTTGATCAAAATTTTTAATTTTAAATTAAAATGAATGAAGTTTGTCATTTTAACCAACAAACCATTTTTTGGTTACACCAGCCAGCCATTTTTTGGGCCGTTTCGCCGAATTTATAATTAATCAATTTTATATAACCTATATAGTAATAAAAGAACTATCAAAATCAGTTCACAATTGATGAAGATATTGCATAACATACATATAAAAAAAAGGGTGTATGCTTATGTATATATAATATTATGTATGCAAAACATACATAATATTGTTACGACACCTAGTTGACTTATTGCGTCACGTTGCATGAGAATGTTCCCAACAATAAGCCACTGGTCTTTGCAAGTAAAAAAGGGTAGGCATAAAAACAAATAACGCTCCGAACATTAATGCAAGCAAGAAGTAACCTTATGTTTACGTGTATAAAGCCTTTTCTTCTTTGGATATTATTATCATTATGTTATCGCGAATGTTCTAATACTTTCCGGTCGAAAAAGTGGAATGACCTGGATTGACCTAGAAAGTTCTATATTCATTTTATAGAGTATATAAAAGTACGCCGGGGAGCGAACAGTTAGTTATTTCAGGAACTCGAAAGTGTACTCTACTTCGTGAAGCGACTACGACAGTCAATCTACGGCATCGCGATTATTAAAAACCTCATCGAAGAAGCTTAGTGAATTTGGACGACGTATTTATAAACTTGCTCTATGTTTGGAAAATACATACCATTTCCCATCGTAATCGGCATTATTACTCAGGCCGCACGTAACAAATGATATTATTATAATCGGTAATAATTGGAAGAGTACCTCTATCGGTCTTTGGCGTCTCGTCCCAGCGGTTGCGCCTGGAGGCGTGGTGCGCGGGCGTGTCGCGGCCGGGCGTGGCGTGTCCGGGCGTGGCGTGGCCGGGCGTGGCGTCCCACACGCGCGCCGACGGCGTCGCGCCCGGCGTCTCGCCGCCGCGCCCCGCGCCCGGCGTCTCCTCCCACGCTCCTCTCTGCTTACAAACATTCGCTTGCATGTACACGCTGTCGAACCCAAGTGTGCTGTGCTCGCATCACACCAACCGTCCCGTCATTGGAACGAGTAGAGCCACTACTGCAGATATATTATGCGTGTAGCACAAATGTGTTGGCTCGATTGGACCACGCTCTCACAGAATACCCACAACAGCGAGCGGAAGTGCGTCAAAGGTGCGAGTCTAATATCCTGCCAAGCGTGGCGATAACAGCAACTCATGGGAGAGGCTCGTGTCCAGTAGTAGCTGTAATGAACCTATATTTCACGTCGTAGTACCCTTGTCAAAACATAGTGATGGAGCAATTTGCATTATGCACTACATGTCAGCATTGTCTAAAGCCTAGTTAGATTTCGTCGCCTTGGAGGCCAATGGAGATTAGCCACAATTTTTGCGAAATGGACTTAAGTACATTAACATACCCAGAAAGAGCCATAGTTTACATTAGTCAATACATGTAACAAATATCATAACTGTAAGCAGGTTTTTTTTAAAATTTGCCAATAAATTTAAGTGTAGTTTCAATAAGGATGAAAAATTCTATGCCGCTTAGATTTATTGCGATTATAAGGTTACAAGTCATAGAAAGTAATTAAACATCAAAGTCAATAGTTATAAGAGCTCATAGAACTCTTGACCACCACAATTATGACATCATAATACTGTATTATAGATAATTGTCATTTATCATTTTTTATCCATTCCCAATATTAATTTGGAACATTTTAATTGGCAGAGAAAAAACCTAAATAATATAAACTGTGGCTCTTTCTGGGTATGTTAATGCACTTAAGTCCATTTCGCAAAAATTGTGGCTTAGCTCCATTGGCCTCCAAGGCGACGATTTCACATCATACATTAGGTTTTTTAACAAAGTTAAAAGTAACGAGTTATTCTATGGTCTAAAACAGTTCAAGTTAGCCTACGAATTATTCACTTTATCCTTGAAATCGTAGGAAATACAAATTTTATTTTTGGGTCTTGCAATGGGCGAGCTAATGCCTTGTGGCATTCTCTGCCAGTCAGCCCTAAAAACTTATGATGCCAAAGACTATTTCAAGCCTTAAGGATATCAATTTCAACAACTTATCGGTGCAATTTTTAATTCTTATTATCTACTAGTGATGAATAGAGGAAGAAATAGACAAATGCCGTACCACAAAGCATTAAATTTAAGTTACATGTTAGGCACTGTACTTATTTACTTAATTTTAAAGGGATAAACTGCCTAAGTTATCGTAAGTGGCTACTCCAATCCATAGACACCTGCTATCAATTTCTAAATAAGTGGTTTGTGAACTGTTCTTTCTGCTTTTGCCATTTTACCTGCTTTGTTAAAAGAATCTCCATAAAACCCTTCACATCAGACTACAATTATTGTAGATACATTTCTGTTGATGGCAGAATTAGGTAAGTGATCGTAACTATACTAATGTATTTATAGATTGTGAAAGAGCTCTAGCACCAATAATTAAATACCATTTCAATACATACAATTTCAATTTACTCACTTCATTATCCCAAGATGGTGTGGCTTGAGAGCTGGGTGTTGTTGTTACAGCTTTCTTCACAGATGGTGTATCTTCAGAACTCTGATCCCACCTTCCTTTACGTTTAGCTGCTGCTGGTTTTGCCGCTTCTCCATTTGGTTGGGCAACTGGCTTAAGAGTGCCTTCCCTAGCTTTTTCCAAAAGTTTTTTTCTTAACTGTAAAGAAATTTAAATGTGTATGCCGGCACCTCTTTAAGAAACTCCTTTTACATGTTTTATAACTTATATTAATCTATATTCTATTAGAGGAATTAAAGCAATATGAGTGATAATTGATAATATTGAAGTTCAAATTAGCTACCGGTTAAGACATATTTAGAATTTAATTTTGTTATCAAACACAAAATGGAAGTCTGGTTGCAAATCTCATTTTATTGTTTTTTTACTTTGAATAGAAAACAGTTCAAGGAAAGTGGCAGTAATGAAAAATTTATATTATATCGCCGTGACTATATTCTGCCACAAAAATAGTGGTTTGATTATCAAACGTTTTTTTTAAATGTATTATTGGTCTGATTTTGGCTCAATTTTGGTTTCCCAGACGCTTTCATCTCTTTGTAAATAGTTCTCACTTTTCTCCTCCTAGATTTCTTAGAAACATCACCGCCTTCCAATGGCATAAACTTAGCCATTTATTTGGTTGGTCGACGTGCACTCCGACCTTTCCTAGGACCGTTTTCTTCTTTAGAGGTATGATGCAAGAAACAATCCCCTAATATGTAGCACTAGTGTACATCATACCAGGCCTCTGTCACTCTTGCTGCCTGCGTGAAATAATTACCTACAATCGCGTGGCACCCCGGGCTACATACACAGTTGGGGCTAGCGCGTTCTAGGCGATAGTTTTTTTTACACTGTTTATGTAAATAGTTTTTGTAAATACGTGTTGAAATAGATATTGTTTAGTGTTTAGTATATTTAATTGTAGGATAAAATTGTTGAAAAACTTTTAATGTAATTATTATAATGGCAAACCGTCATTTTTTCTGTACGTTCCTACTATAGTTGTTGCATGGATGGATGCTTAATGAGCAAACAAAAGGATTCAGATATATCATTTTTTAAGTTACCGAAGGATAATGAAAGGTGAATTTATTTTATAAGTATTTTTTCTTAGATAGGTACCAATAGCGAAAAAAGAATTAAGTACTAATTTAACTACAGAAGTAATACCTAAGTGATTTATTACAAAACTTAGTTGAAATTTACTTCAATATTCAAGTACCTACTTACATACCTATACTTGTCTTTTGTAATTAAAACTGTTTACAAGACTTTTAATTGTAGAATACGATCACATTTCTGTTAGGAATCGTATTTCGTGTGTATTGGTTGTTTACACAATCTAGCTATTTCTTCCGAGCCAAGCATCGCAATTCCCGACGAATGGCCTTGCAAGTTGCATGCGTTGGGCTTCACAAAACTCACATAGTAGCGAAAATATGATCAGTCGATCATAGACAGAATATGTACTTTACCTAAGTAACTTAGTTACCATTTCGCAATATATTCGCAGTATTTTTTACTCTTGATTGACAGCCTTTAGTAACCACGTAAAAAGTCCGCTGGGAAAATGATGCAAAGTAATACGGACACTCACGCGTAGCAATAAAGGTTTATTTAGCTTGCGTGCGCGGTTTATCAAATTAACAATAATTACGTAAGCTATTAAAACGTCGGCAAGCAGTCAACACCAAAAGAGTGCAACTGCTATACGGAGTAGTATTATTTATTCTGTGATCATACTGTGACTGCAGGTTTATTTATTTTGTAATATTTTTTGGAAATGTAATCGAATTATTTATTTATATTCAATAAAATATTATAATATACTGTGTGAATACAAACAAAATAATTTCAGTGTCTTCATCATCAGAAAAACATTCTACGCATATTTAAGTTTAAGAAAACAAAATAAAAATTAAGGAAATGTTGTGTTTATGGCATCAAAATAAATAAAATAGACTTTTTTGTTCAAATCTTTTTAAAAACATGCTTAGTTCTTGCCCTTTATTTTGAGGTATTATTTACGCAGATGTCGCATCACCTCCTGGAATTAGGGTGTACAAAGCAAATTGTAGGTATCATCCCCTTCAGGTTTTGCACCCGTTTTCCAAACATGACTAGAGATCCACCCCTGTCTCGCCTGGGTGGGATATATGAATCATCATTTATATTTTTTTAAATAATTGTCAATGACCATTTATTTTATAATTAATAGAATCAGGCGTTACTTTGCGGAAATCCATTATATAAAAGCTTTTACAAAAATTTACTTCGCAAATATCCGCGTTATAAAATAAAATGATGTGTCTTACCTAGTATGAAGAAGCACCTCCCGCCCTCCCTCAATTGCGTGCACTATCCCCGTCACCACTAATCCCAGCACTCTACGGTGGCTAACCGCTAAGTGACTTAGCGGTTAGCCACCGTAGAGTCTATATCACCTGAGGATGCCTCGTGTAGAGGCGAAACACGTGTCGTATTATCGTCAGTGGTGTGTCTTGCCTAGTGTAGTGGTGTTGGAAGTAGCGGTGCTAGGATTAGTGGTGACGGGGATAGTGCACGCAATTGAGGGAGGGCGGGAGGTGCTTCTTCATACTAGGTAAGACACATCATTTTATTTTATAACGCGGATATTTGCGAAGTAAAAAAAAATTTTTGTAAAAGCTTTTACCATTTATTTTATCAACTTACAATTTCAAAAACTATAACTTTTCGCAACAGTGGGGCTAGGGGCTAGATACTAATTGCGGCGTCCGGCGAAAGCAGTACAGGTTCTAACATGAAAATGCAGCATGACGGGCTACTGAATGCGCGGTGATGCACCGCATAAACATTTCATTAAAATTTCAATAACATGGTTGATAATAACCCCTGGGAATGAGGTGGTCGCTTCCAAGCTGTTTCTAAAATAAATTTTGTACTTATATAGTTTGTATAACCATTAATGTAAAATATGCTTTTTTTTTTAAAAAGTCCCGCTGGGTTTCTTGCTGGTTCTTCCCAGGACAGAGGTTTTTTTTTCGAACCAGTGGTAAAGTAAAAATTGCTTTCAATAAGAATCACACTTGTGATCTATATTGAATAAAAATTATTTTTATTTTTTTTTTATAGGAGAGGGGGCAAACGAGCATGCGGCTCACCTGATGGTAAGTGACTACCGCCGCCCATGAACAACCGCAACACCAGGGGAATTGCAGATGCGTTGCCGGCCTTTTAAAAAGGAGTAGGCTCTTTTCTTGAAGGTCCCTAAGTCGTATCGGTCCGGAAAAATCGCTGGTGGTAAACTATTCCACAAGGAAGTTGTGCGAGGAAGAAAACATCTTCTAAATCGCACAGTGGTGGACCGCCAATCATCCAGATGGTGTGGATGGTATCGGGAGTTCTGCCGCGATGTGCGTTCGTGAAATTTGGCGGCTGGGATTAATCCGAACAATTCCTCAGAGCACTCCCCATGATAAATGCGAAAGAAAATGCTAAGAGATGCAACATCTCTTAGCATTTTCTGATTAGCCGATCGGAAAGGACTCGGTCGTCGACGATTCGAGCCGCTCTGCGCTGGATGCGGTCAAGTGGAAGAAGCTGGCACTGGGGAGCCCCAGACCAGAGATGGGAACAGTATTCCATGTGAGGCCGAACCTGCGCCTTGTAAAGTTGCAGGCGTTGAGCCGGCATGAAATACTGTCCCGCTCTGCTGAGCACGCCAAGCTTTTTAGAGGCCAATTTGGCCTTTTCTTCCAAGTGACCACGAGACTGCACGCTACTCGATATGTCGACGCCAAGGATTCCGATACTGGCTGAGGCAACAAGGGGAGTACCTTGAAACTGAGGAGATACGACAGTGGGGTTCTTTTTAGCGGTAAACGCGCAAACTTGTGTCTTCTGAGGATTAAACTGGACTAGATTTAGTCGCCCCCAATCCGAGACTTTGTCCAGCAAAGACTCGACTTCAGACACAAGTTTGTTCCGGTACTCGGTGACGTTTTCCCGAGAAATATTGGCACGGCCGGTGTAGAGAGCATCACCAGTGCTGTCATCCGCATAGCAATGAATGCTACCGGCTTGCAACATATCATTGATATGCAGAAGAAACAGCGTTGGTGATAGCACGCAGCCTTGTGGAACACCAGCGTTAATAGGCTTGTAGTCGGAGCATGCACCGTCTACAACGACCTTGATGCTCCGATCTGCAAGAAAGCTGGTGATCCAATTGCATAATTTCTCGGGAAGCCCATAGGAAGGGAGCTTCGAAAGAAGCGCTTTGTGCCAAACCCGATCGAAGGCCTTCGCAATGTCCAAACTAACGGCCAATGCCTCCTCCTTGGACTCTACTGCCAACGCCCATCTATGAGTTAAGTAGACCAGAAGATCACCAGCTGATCGACCCCGACGAAAACCGTACTGGCGGTCACTAATCAGCTGGTGATCCTCAAGGTACCGTATGAGGTTTATTCTATTCTATTCATTTTCATTTTGATTTGTAAAAATAATATGTTTTAATTTACAAAAGAAATGGCAGAATTGCATATTAAAGAGCATGTTTTAATATATTTTATGACTTATATAATCAATGTTTATTATCATTTTGAATGAAACTAAAAATTAATCAGGAAAAATGTAGCTTCAGATTATTATTTTTTGAGTAAAATGCAACACATCGTGTTTCTAATCGCAGTTTCGGCTAGACTAAAACTTTTGCTGCATCATGGTTTTTTTTTGGATCCAAATAAAACTGGTTAAATTTGTAAAATTGATTTTAAAAATGGTGATGGTTTCAAAGCCGAGTTTTCCTTAAAGTAACTTAAACCTTAACCAGAACGAGAACCGTAGCAAAAGGAAACTTTATGGAACCTTATTGTAGAACAGAATTTGGAACCAGTTTTCAATCCCTGCTCCCAAATAATAATAATTTTTAAAGGTGAAAGTAGTAACAATTTACTTACTTCTGTCTCTTCAGCACGCAAATACTGTTCTTTCATAATTTCTGTATAGGTCCTTGATCCAACATCAGGTGTTTTACCACCTGCAAATAATTTATGTATTTCACAATTTTGTATAATTGTTTACATGAGTTTTCTGTGAAAAAATTATTTCATCTTGTCATTACATAATAACAATAAAATCATAAAGAATTCGGAGGGTAGACGAAATCCCCTATCGGTCAGGCAGTAAAAAGTACGGCACAGGGAACTAGCAGGGTTCAGTCATTCTACAACAAGTCTTAATTGGTGTTGTGCAAAGAATGTTGTGTTACGAAGAGACTATCCTGTATCATATCGAGATAAGCAGTGTTGCTGTTGGTTTGCATACTCAATCTATTTTATAGACAGTAAAATACACCATATCATATTAATGGAGTATAAAATAGTTTTTAAATAATTATTATTATATACAGGGTATTTTTGGAACGCTCCCGAAAACTAAGACAGGCGACAGCACCAAGTATACCTTTGATCATGGGTCATAAATAAATTTGATCCTGATGAAAAAAAAACCATATTTTTACAACGTTTTATTAGCTTTATTCACGCGTCATCATGTTAGTACAGCTAAATGAAACGATAATTTCATAAAAAAAAATCATGAAAAGACTGAAACATAAAACCAGCAGTGGAAACTGAATTGATATCACCTGACTAATGGAGGTTAATGTACGCGCGAACGGTGAAAAAAGAACGCTGGCCTTGAACTTGAGCACTGAGCGATTTATCACATATTGGCCAGTATTACTGTGCCTGCATGCTATTGGTTCCCGCGCTTTGTTCGCTCCAAAAATACAGTCGCATACACAGCTTACTTTGCGACTCGCAACGATGTTTTAAAAAGGAAGGAAAAAAAATTATTTATATCTATTGTTTTATGACTAAACTAGTGAACGAAAAAGTGAATGGGGAAAATTGTGCAGTAAAGTTAAAATTGTTGAGGAAGAATACCGAAAAAATTACCATGTGAACGACCTGATGACGGAAGCTCAAGCGAAGATGAAAGTGATGATGAAGTAGCATCCAGTAACACCAACACACCATCAACATCTGGCTTCCATGTGACACAAGACGTCATAATGGACGGCGTGTCACCCTTAGCTTAAGTTTTTTTGTTACAAACTACTTTATATTTTACAATAGAAATAACAAACAATGCTCAAGTAAACATTATCTATTTTTAATTCCCACCTCTTCCAAAGTTCTAAGTAGCTAGTAAAACACCTATTATGATTCTACAATAAAACAATTAATTACTATAATATTATAAAACAATAGCCCAATACCATGTAGTACTTTAGAACGCGACTGTACCCACACTCACTCCGCTGTCGACCTGTATCTAGCTCGGTATGAAGCAATGCTACGGTCATAAGAAAAAAGGGCGCATCTAACAATTTTCGAATAAATGAGTTAAATATACCATTCGACTCATGATAAGAAGACGCATCTACTAAATTTTTTTAATATTCACTAATATCAATATTTTAGAAATTATCGTCAGAATTTTAGACGTAGCTGTTGATCACAGATGACATTTTATTAGTTGAAAAGACTTATACAAATTCAACATAAAAGAAAAGACTTATTTAACCAGTTGCTACGTCATCTTTAACAATATTTGCATCGATTACTTAAATTTAAATTATTCTTGTCTTATTATTTTATATCTTATTATTAAGAGCTTATATCTTATTATTAAGAGCTGGTGTTTCACATGTGGTCCCATATAAATTTGATCGAGGTCAGACCAATAGTTTTTGAGTTATCCTTAATTATTTATATTAAAGTCGGTTGTACAAATGTTTTAATTTTTAATTATTATCGTAGTAAGTCTTGTATGATATCCCCTTTAAAATCATTACTCAAGAGTTGCGGGTTGTTATTTTTTGTGTCTCACTACCAATGCTTTTCTAATATTTACTAAGAAAAAAGTAGTAGATTACTATTAGCGTCCTCTCAACTTCAAATGACCTTTCCAAAATATGTAAAAATGTTAAATGAATGGTAGTTTTGTTTTATTTATTAGGTTGGGAAGACCCAAATAGTTATATGCGTCTATCCTTCGATGTTTTTGTGTTGCCAGGTGTATTTTTTAATCTAAGATGAAGAGGAAAATTCGTTTTATTTAAATAAATAAACAAATTTAAAAAAAAATAAGTTCGTCCTTAAAATCTTCATGTCTCTACGTATATATTTCAATATAGATACCTTTTAATATACTTTAGACACGGGGTCTGAAAGAAAAATTCATCAATTTATTTTTTATTTCCATTTTACGTTTTTGTTAGTTACTTCCTTTTTTATTATGACGGCAGAATGCCTAACCCTGTCGCCTCACGCTTGTGACGCAGTAGGTTTCAGGTGTTGATTTTGTACACGCGTGCGCGAGCGACAGTTCAATCGTTTTGTTTAATAAATTTACTTGTGATTACGTGTTGATATTAAAGTTTTTGTTACGTTTTTGGATTCTTTTTTGTTTTAATAATGCCTAACGCGTACGTTTATAGTGGTTATTATACTGCCGTTGGTTATTATATCAGCAACAACGTGTGCCTGGTTCCATTGATCACATTATCTGGACGGATGAGTCGACATTTACCAGAAACGGCCTGTGGAACCGAAGAAATACACACGTGTATTCAGAGGTTAACCCGCACGCTGTTCGACAAACCGGGCACCAAACCCGATGGTCGGTTAACGTATGGACAGGTTTATTTAAGGATCGCATACTGGGACCAGTGTTTCTGCCAGAGCGACTGAACGGACAGCGATACCTAAACTTTATAAATGAACAGTTGGTTGACATTTTAAACGACCTATCGTTGGCTGAATATCGCCGCACATAGTTCCAACATGATGGTGCCCCTCCACATTTCGTGAGGTTCGTCCGTGAGCGCCTCAATGAGCTATTTGATGATCGCTGGATCGGCAGACTAGGACCACACGCTTGCCCACCTCGCTCACCAGATCTGACTCCGTTAGACTTCTTTTTGTGGGGTATGTGAAAGAAAGAGTTTTTAATCGTGAATGTGATAGTGCTGAAGAAATGCGCCAAAGGATCGTGGATGCTTTCGAGAAACTATGTACGGACTGTGTCGAAGACCACACGATGATGCCCCGCCTGCACCCAAGTCTGCCTTGAAATGAATGGAGCACAATTTGAGCCGCATCTCATAAGACCACGGAGGATTTAGAGCAGTAAGCTGTTTCATAACTATTTTTTTTTAAATAACTTAGTACTAGACTAATCTGAATAGGTACATAACTGAATACACGAGAATAATAAACATACCTACACGATGAATAAAAACGCATGACTCCAACCTTGGTTACATTTCATTTAAGTATTTCTTCATTAGCGGGGAATCGAACCAGTTATTTGGGTTATTTAACCTGTAAATTCGGATTAAAGTGGCTACGTGGAGATAAGCACAGTGGCAAAATAGTAGGTTAAGTAGATAAGTTAGGTATTTAGACACGTGTTGTAAATTATTAGGTATTGTGGGAAGGCCCGCTAGTTGCGGGCCGCGCGAATTTGTGTTCGCGCGTACATTGACCTTTATCTAGCTCAGGTCAGGTGATATCAATTCAGTCATTCCACTGCTGGTTTTATGTTTCAGTATTTTCATGATATTTTTTATGAAATTATCGTTTTATTTAGCTGTACTAACATGATGGCGCGTGAATAAAGCTAATAAAACCTTGTAAAAAGATGATTTTTTTTTCATCAGGATCGAATTTATTTGTGACCCATGATCAAAGGTATACTTGGTGTTGTCGCCTGTCTTAGTTTTCGGGAGCGTTCCAAAAACACCCTGTATTATTTACAATAAATAAAAATAACTGTTTTTTCTTTTTTTGCTTTACCTAGTTTTATTTAATGAAATGATGTTATAATTTTAATAACATAAACATAAACACTCACGCCTGTCACCCAGAGGGGTAGGCAGAGATTATGGACTTCCATTTGGCACGATCCTGACACACCTCTCTCGCTTCCTCCACATCCATATACCTACGCATACACGCTCGTCGGTTAAAGGTACTCTTGATTTGGCCCATTTTTAATATATCGCCAATTTGGTCGATAAACTTTCGCCTAGGGCGACCCTTCCCGACTATGCCGTTCACCTCTGCAACATAAATTTGCTTTGTCACTCTTTCCTCATTCATTCTTTCTACATGGCCAAACCACCGAAGCATTCCTTTCTTAATCCTGGTCACAATATCATCTTGCAAACCACACTCTTCTCTTATTAAACAATTTCTCACTCTGTCATTCAGCTTCATCCCTAACATACTCCTTAATGACCGCATTTCTACAGCATTTATTCTACTCTCATGCTTCTTCTGCCACACCCAACTTTCACTACCATACATTAAAGTAGGTACTAACACAGCATTGTGAATTGCCATACGTGCCTTTTTGGACACATTCTGACTTTTCACAATAGAGTGTAGAGCCCCATTCACTCTATTTCCTGCATTCACTCGTCGTTCTATATCCTTATCATATCTACCATCCCTGCTAAACACACATCCCAAATATACAAACTCATCTACTTGCTCTACCAACTCCCCTTCTATTCTTATTTCACATATCGTTTTACTTTCTTCTCTTTCAAAAATAACAATAAAGTAAATTATTAAAATGCGAATATTTGTCTTATATATTGAGTCTTATGATATTGAGATAATTTATTTTCTTAGTGTTCTACATTTTTGAATACTTTGACTGCTTGAATACTATTGGTGTTGTTTGAATAATATATGATGTTGTACATGTCCTCATATTTTTGAACAAGATTGATTGATGGTCTCAATAATTATCTTCTGTCATAATAATCACTTTGCTGACAAAGGCCAAAACATAATTACCTTAAATTTACAAAATTATTTTATACACTTGTGTGACAGAGAATGTAAACACACCACAATTCCATATTGATAATGCACACTGCAGTTAGGATTATCTTTTTGTGCACTATTATGTTGATTATATATTTTTTATATTTAATAAGCGTTGTTTTTTCATACCAACATTCTATTGATGAGTTTATAATTCGAGAAAAATATAATGTTACCTTCTGCAAACGGATCATTTCGCTCTGGTGATATAATCATCCTACGCCTCTTCTGACGGTACTCATCTTCTCTATCTGCAATTGTAGGTCTTCTTTTATCTGCAAATGGGTCATAGTCTTTGTCACTCTGCAAAAAAAACTCGACTTTAAATATGAACAGGCTACAAGGCAATAGTTACTTATAACAATATTTGTAATAAAACTTTCAAAATAATAACTTAATGATTATCTATTTCCTTGAGTTTTAATTTATTTATGCCTTTTATAAAAATGTTACTATTTTCTAAACTTTAACTCTCTTCGTTTACATAACTCAAAGAAATATATTAAATTATCCATGTGATGTACAAAGCACATTTAGACATGAAAACACCTATAATTTAGACGTTCTCAGCTTCTATACCTGTGCTATATCATTGAGTAAGGATGCTGGTGCAGTATATCCTGGTCTTTTTTGTGAGACTGGTACATTTTCCACATCTTCATCTTCAACTTCATCATTGGCTGCTATAGATGTCACATAACCATCATATCTTGATTTTCCACCATGTCCAGCATTATCATAAATGTCACTGTCATAGTAAGTTTCACCCAGTGAAACTCCTTTTCCTGTACCATTTTCTGGTAATTCATTCTTTTTTTGTTGTATCTCCCTTATCTGAGCTTCAATAGCTGTAAAAATAAAAATAAAGATCATAAACGTATGTAAAGAAATAACACGTAAGTTACAGCCTATATATGCATCCCACAGTTGGGCATAGGATTTCATTTATTATAGAGCTTTTTTCTTGAGACTTCCATGACTTTAAAATATTACTTTTTTATTTCACAGACATGTGGTAAATCCGCACTTAAAATTGCAAGAATAAATTTCACTAGTGAGGTGATTATAAAATGGAATTAAAAATAAAAAACGTTAAAAATTTTACATTAGACTACTAGCTTATAAAAGTAATTAAACAAACATGCGTGGGTGTTGTAGAACAATTGGTTGGATAGAAATACCTTTCGTAGTATATTATTATTGATAAACATATTATATTATTGATTAACAAATACAGTAAAACTCGCTTAATATGATCACGTTTAATACGATTTCTCGCATAATACGCCATTTCATATCAGTCCCTGCAACTTGAGGCATGTTTTCATACATTTTTAACTCGCTTAATACGATCGTCATCCCGTCTGATACACCATCTGTGCAACACCCAAGCCAAGCTGAGTAGCACGCATAATTCTCTTCATTGATAACTGCCCCGCTCACCCTTAAGATTTTGGGGCTTAGCTTTCCATTGACGTCAGTGGAGTTTGGTGTTGATACGTATTTTTACAGAAAGATTACACTATTATAAGCACACACACAATGTCTCAATATACGGAAACGCGTAATTTTTGAGAAAAGAATAATTGAAAATCAATTATTCTTGCAATGTTTACGTCTAATTTGCTAATAAACTGGCGCCATTTTGTAATGTCATTGTCGACGTCAATAGGGATGTCGATTCTTTCCGAAAAAGGCCGATTTTTAAATCGATTCAAATCGTAAGCTGATGTATCGGTTCACAAAAAATCGATTTCTAAAATGTCTATATTTTTTTAATGTTTCTATTTATAATGTAAATATAAACCTATTTTATGAAAAACAAGAAAGATACCATGATAAATGATCTCTTACTGAAATTTGTTTTATTTAACAGTACCTATTAGGGCAGATAAATAAAATAGGTTAGGTTCAACTTATGTCAAAGAACCGAATTGATTGACCCCGACTCCACCTGGTACGAGTCTGTCCTACCCCTAGAGTGGTTTTATAGAGCCGGAGGCGCGTAGGGGGAGCAGCCTCCGCCTGCTGTAACAAATCGTAGGCATCGGACGAGGAGGGATGCCTGCGATTTGTTACGCTAAGGCGTAGAGGTTGCTCTTCCCGCAGCGCCGGAGACGTAGCGGGCTCAAAATAGATACAGAAATCCTTATGAATCAGTCCCCTTATTTTTTTATGATGAAGGGGATTTTTTTCTCATAAAATGGATTTATATTTACATTATAAATGCAAACATGAAAAAAATATCGATATTTTAGAAATCGATGCCCTATAGCAAATAGTAAAGTAAGTAGAGTCATAGATAATTTATGGAAAGGCTGGCTTATTATATACACTGATGCCTCCAAAAAGTCAGATGAAAGATGTACTGGAGCAGCAGTTTGGATTCCCAGATTCAAAATAATTCTTAATTTTAAATGCCCTTCTATTTCTTCCACTTTTACTGGCGAGGCCACGGCAATTCATGAAGCTTTAATATATATAGAAGCACACAACTTAAATAAGTCAGTTATTCTTACCGACTCCAAAAGCTGTTTGTTAGCAATTTTGTCAAACCAATTCCAAAGTAAATATAAGATACCCTTGATCCTCAAAATTAAACACACATTGTATAGATGTCATCTCAAGGGCATACAGGTTTCCTTAGCTTGGATTCCAGGTCATAGTGGCATCAAGGGCAATGAAACAGCTGATCTGATGGCTAAAAATGCCAGTCGAAATGGTTTGCCATGTAATTTAACTTACTCCTCAGACATAGTGTTACTTGCAAAGAAGAAGTTAAATAATAATTGGAATACATTATGGAAAGCCACTCAAAATATAAAAGGTAAACACTATGCTGCTATACAATGTGCCATCCTTCCAAAACCATGGTTTTTCAAATTCAATAAAGCTAATAAACATTCTACATCAACTATTTGTAGACTTAGAATTGGCCACGCTTGTACACCAGTACATTTGGCCAAACTGAGGATTAGGGATAGTTCCCTCTGCGAATGTGGGTTGGATGAGGGAACCTCCGACCATATTTTTTTTAACTGTCCTAAATTATCTTGTTCACTCTATGATTATCTCCCTCCTGACATCCCTCGTCCTATAAATTTTGATTCACTTTTAACCTACACAAACACTCCTTATGTATATATTCTGTGTGATTTTATTAACACTAATGGTATAAAAGTTTAATGTTTGTCAATACTAACATACTAATGTAGTTATAGCAACCGTGTTTGTCATTTGTTCTAGGTAATTCAACAGTATAACCATTAGTACTACAAGATAAAAGGGGAAAAAATTGGTTTAAAGGAAAAAAGATACTTGTACTATCACAATCTTCTCTTGTATATGGGCATAGTATTTGTAACTACTGAGCTTCTACTCAATAAACGCTTTCACGCTGACATTGGCGAATGATCAAAACCGCCATAAAAAAGAAAGAAGAAGAAGAAGAATAATTGATTTTCAATTATTATTTTCTCAAAAATTACGCGTTTCCGTATATTGAGACTTTGTGTGTGTGCTTATAATAGTGTAATCTTTCTGTAAAAATATGTATCAACACCAAACTCCACTGACGTCAATGGAAAGTCGTACCGATTTTGGGCTAAAGAACATCAAGCTTGTTTTCTTACCTCCGAATGTGACAAGCAAGTTGCAAACGATGGATCAAGGCATTATAAAAGACCTTAAAACAAAGCTACACAACACGATTAATACTTACATCGCTATCGTAAAGAAATGGAAGATCCTGATAGCAAACGACCCTTGACTGTGCATGATCAATTCCGACTATCAAACGCAGAGGCATTATGAGCAGTAAACAGTTTGAGGCGCTATGTATCTATTGTTGCAACTTGCTTTTCGCTTTCGGGGAAAGTGGTCATTATAAATAATAATTAACTATGGTGTAACATATTTAAATACATATACATATTGTGTATAATCTAATAGCTTTCTAACAAATTTATAAATATACCTATAATGAAATACCTACATAAAATTTGTAAATGATGTTATGTTTTATTTTCCATATCCCGCATAATATGCTTTCCCGCTTAAGTTGTGACTTTGGTTGGGTCCCTACAAAATCGTCTTAAGCGAGTTTTACTGTACAAATAAATGAATTACTAGTGTCTATTAAAATGAAGTGTCATTTAAAATAAAATAATATTTCTTTCATGGCAAGATAAGAAAAAGTGCAGGCAGATGAATACTATTTCATCTCGCTTCCTTATTACATATTCTGACGGAAGGGTTGTGGCAGAAAAACGTTACACTTTTTCTCACCTAGCCCCCCATCCACCAAATTCGTACTGTCCAATAAGGAACTTTGTTCCACAAAATTAAGTCTAATATAAAGGTTGACCTGAGTTCCTCAGCTCTGGTACAGCTATATAAATATTTTTTTAGATTTTCAAGATTTATTGATTCATCATTAGCTTTTGATGAAGGAAAACAATATTAAAACCTATGATATACATCATCATCAGTATCATTACAGCCCTTCACAAGTCACTCCTGAACATAGACCTCCCCCGAGGAATGCCACAAAGCATGGTCTTGAGCTACCTGCATGTCTTACTAGGTCGTTACGACTGAATAAAATAATAATAATAAAAATACATCACTTTCAAACATTGCAGCAAACTCCAAGGAAACAACACCTGAGCAACTGCAGCATGTATTTTATTTATATTCATGTATCCATAAAGAAATAGTATTTAAATTAAACATTAAATTCAGTTTAACATAAATTCCACAGGAACTGTGAATTTTCTAGAAAGGCTCGAGTTAAAATTATACCTAAAGTTTTCCTTCCAGAGATTTTTTTTTATAGGATAAGGGTGACAAACGAGCACACGGTCCACCTGATGGTAAGTGGTTGCTGTGGCCCATATACATCTACATTCATCCTCGATTACGAATCAAAATGCATATGCGTTGTCACCCGTGAGGACTAAGATGGACCGCCTCGTTTCCAGTAAAAAGGGTCACCAGTTCTCCACATTCACCAAATGAAACACAGCAGCATTAAGCTGCTATTTTACACTGGTATTCTGTGAGAGCATGGTCCTTCCCCGGTCGAGCCCACACATTCATGTTACAACTATACCAGAAATATAGCTGCAGCATGGCTCTACCACATATAAGATTAGAGATTATTTAACCTAAAAGATCCAAATCTGACCATCTATACAAATAAAATGATAGAAGTTTAAATTTGTGCATGCATCACAGAAAAAGTACTGGGTATATTACAATTAGGTTTTGTAAGTTTAATTTCTAAGACAATAGGCCCTTATCCAAAAAAAAAATATTGCAATTATCTTCATTTAATGTAGTTATTAAAGTTTTAAGATACAACTATTTTTATAAGCACTACTTGTTCAGTGATGTGTATTTTCTTGATATATCAAGCAATGCAGATGAAGTTACAGGTATCAGCTAGTTATTGGAATATTTTGCCATTATTGCCATGCCTGGCAGATTAATTTGCAATTCCTCATCAGAGTTACATATAATCTCAACATTGTAACAGAGGCATCAAATTTTTGATGCAGTATATAAATCCTCTCAGAAATCAAGAGAAATAGGTAAAAATTATATAAATAGGTTATTATTTGAGTTTTTCTTCTTACTTTAGGTTTGTATGAGAACTTTAGGTATATTACCAATAACTGATTATTGTTACATTATAAACAAATTTTTTTAATTTATTAACATGCATAAATAAAATGAGTTTGGTAATGCAGGTACTGTAAAAAGTTACCAATCTTTGCTGAACCTATAAATGGTAGGAAATACCATTTATCAGCTAAGACCTGGTATAACTTCATACACTTTACATACAATGTGACAATTCCTCTCATTAATAATAATAATACAAAAAATTTATGAATTAACAAAAAATATGAAATTAAATTGTGCCATTACATGAACATTTATCATTAAATAAGACTATTTTTCATATAATATAATATTGTTACGTGCGTAATATATGTGCATAAATATATTTGTTATTTGCATAACAATAACTAACCTCTATCATACCATCTAGTAGGTATACTATACGACTATATAATTCCCAGTAATAATACAACGAAATACTTATAACTTGAATCAAGGGAAAGTTGAACGTATGTACGATTTTAAAATAAACTTTTTAACTTTATATTAAAAACGAATAATCAACCAAATCTTATCGACATATAAAAGATTTATTTTGTTTATTAACATATTATAATTTTGAACAAGATGATAAACCATCTAAATTGATGGCAAATGTAGTATTAGGAAGATGCTAAATGTTAAAGAATATCTAATCCAAACAAATGTACACGCAAATAGGTAGTAAATTAAAATGGCTGGCGAATAGGAAAAATTTGATTTTAAAATCGACGGAAAAATTACCTTCATGAGTTCGAGGTATTTTATCCATTATTTCAGTAACATTAGAAATCGGTCACAGTTTTAAAATATAATGTTTGAGCAAATACAAACTTGATTTCTTGGAAACTTATCGTTCAATATTTAGATTACACCACCCACAGAACACTAATACCCATTACCCACACCACCCGACCAGAGACCATCAAACAACACAATAGAATAGATTTTTTTTAAAGGAGTTTATGGCCTGGTGTCTAGACCTTTAGGCCAAGTCTTGAGTATTTTTATTCGGTTTATTATAAATAATTATCCTTCATAGTTCACTGCTTCACAATATGTTGATGCGTCACATTGTGCAGCCCTTGAGAGATTTTGACGGCAACTTGAGCCAGCAGACAGCTGATAGTTGGCGATGGTATCTCAAGGCGCCTATGCAAACAAACAGCTTATCTAGAGAATCCATATCACCATCAGAGCACTTGTTTCACTGTTTCCACTAATAGTTCACATGCGTAGACAATTAATACACAAAATCGCACCACTTTTACATATCAAAGTCCACTTCAAACCATTATTTAAACAATAATACAGGAGCAGCAAACCGCCGCTGATCAAGTTCCCGCCAAAACTCACCTAGTTCCTAGACATTTTTCAAAATGTTGCTAGATTGCCAGCTTTATTACCCCAAAAACTTGCTAGAAGTAGTAAATGTACAGTACGTAGGTAGACATGAAGTTATAGATAAAGATGGAGATCACACTCCGAATACCTACTTGAAGCTCAACCTATGTATTACTATCTCGCTCTCTGTGGGCAGACCCTCTCTTTCTAAGTAGGTAACCTTTGTTTTATTTTTCCCAGGATATCACTATAAGTAGTTACATTACATTAAGTGGTTTATTTATAAATATTTACATCTCTGTTTACTACTAAGACCTAGCCTATATAGATTATATATATTTGTACATTTTTTTTTTTTTTGGGAAATTGGTTTTATGAAGAAAGGTTTTCATTTCCATGGGCAGAACCGGTATCTAAAATTTGACCACGCATTTCCGTTACAACCCATATAATGTCGAGCCTATTTAGAAAATGCGGAAAATAAATATATCAGAAAATATTTTATTACTACCATTTCGATAATGTATTTTCTGGTTATTGTATACCTGAACGGTACCAACGAAATATAAAATTAATTTATTATAACACCCCGAGTGATCAATGAATTGGGCAAAATATACCTGATTTATTGTTCAGACAGACTAAATCTATTTCTGGACAATTATTTTAGAAAAATATCACGAGGACTAAAGGAGCGTAGCGGAGCTCCTGCCTTAGCCTTCTGACCTAACCCATCCGAATCAGGCTGCTCTGCCGGGCTATTCACAATCGTCTCGGAAAGCGAAATCGACTCGGATTCGATAACTTCTCGCACCAAAACCAATAAACGCTATTCACATTTAACGTTCGGATAAAGGTCACTTAGATACATCCTATAACTATTGTATCGTCATTTAGTTACATGCATTAACGAATTTTGTAGATAAATAGGCTTTTGTATTTTTTTAGAGTAACGCCTGAACAAAAACATAATGCAATATTTTGGAGTTAGCCATTGATATCAAATATAAAAAATATATAATTTAACTATATAATAAATAACAAAAAAACTGAGATATGTCTCGTTTCTGTCGGGTCTGGGTTTTTTTTCTATGGGGCGTGACCGTACTTCTTTGACGTTTGTTTTCGATAATTGTGACAGTTTCCATCGGAAACTTCACGAGAGCTCTGAGGCTGGCGAAAACTTTTCGAATATTGATGATTAGAAGAGATAAATAAACCCTTTTAATTATAAGGTAGGTAACAAAAATTAATTACAATTATCTATAAGACGTATTTTCATATAATTACTACAATATTTGTACTTAATCGTAAAGCTGAATTTTTGTGAAAGGTGTGTTTTTATAAGTTTTCTATCACAAAGCAGCGTATATATATATGCTGCTTTGTGAAACGAGACATATCTCAGTTTTTTTGGTATTTATTATATAGTTAATATATTTTTTATATTCGATATCAATGGCTAACACCAAAATATTGCATTATGTTTTTGTTCAGGCGTTACTCTAAAAAAATACAAAAGCCTATTTATCTACAAAATTCGTAAATGCATGTAATGTAACTAAATGACGATACAATAGTTATGGGATGTATCTAAGTGACCTTTATCCGAACGTTAAATGTGAATAGCGTTTATTTGTTCCGGTGCGAGAAGTTATCGAATCCGAGTCGATCGATAATATATAAAAAACCTTAAAAAATAAATAAAAATTCTTTCCATATTAAAATTATTTATTAAAATTTTACACATCATGTGGATAACTCTGTGGCTTTTTGAAGTCCTTACAGATATCAGCAAAGCACCCTTGAATAAATATTCTCAATTTCTGACTGACCCGTATTCTTTTTTATTAGTTGCCATTAAAGAACACCTATCCTGAATTTTTTTAGTTTGACGCGCCACTTTTTGTTTAAGAATCTTAGTTTTCGTCTCAAGTATTTATTCTTTAGTACACTTTATTTTCACTTGCACGTCGTCGTATTCACTGCTGACCTAAAAAACAAGAAAACTTTATGAAATCAGTATTTTTAGCATCGTACATAGTATTGCTCCACTCATTAGGGTCGTAGCTTGATGTTAGACAGCCTTCCTGAGGAATTGGTTTTAAAAATGCAAAAAATATTTTCAAATCTGACTGGTATGGTTCCAGAGAGAATTAAACAAAAAAAAAGAAACAAATAACTCTTCTACGTCATAATGTCAGTACAAATTTATATCACTTAATAGGTAACACATAATACACCGGAGCGCGACTTCGTGAGCACACATAAATGAAGCATCAAACAAGAAGCTTCATGCTTAGTGTCGTAGTGACGGTTACCACACTGCAACTGGCACTAAAGAGTTTAAATATGTATGTGTTTTAAGCTATATAATACATTATGTAGTGTAATATTAAAGTCATAATAAATAAAAGGTATGTATTTAGTAATAAAAGAAAAGGAAACTTACAGGTAACTTGTTCAGGTTGCATAAATTTTCACGAATTTTTCGACATTGTTTTTTACTAGTTTGGTCTTCAATATTACAGCCAGTACATTTCATTCCTGTTTCCTTAAGTGCTGAACTACTTTCATTAATTCCAGAACTAGTGCTTGGTACAGCTACAGCCAGAACAGCTATTTGCACAATAGACTCTTCATGTCATGCACTTGTTGTCTGCAAATGATAACATATTTTACAAAATGTTGCTTTATATCATATATTTAAACTACTACATTTCTAAATACATAATATATTACGAAAAATAGATAATTAAAGTGGTGATACTGTTTCTTGATTTCTTATAACAGTAGGAACTGCTGTTGGTTTTAAGCACCTTGTTGTTGAATCATAATCTGATTCTTGAAAATGCAAATACTTGCACTTTCATAATACTTCATTTTCAATGGTACAATGGATAACAACAAATTTCTCCGAGTACTGTTTTAGGAAATCTAAAAAAAATATTCGTAATTATTGTAAACGTTATTAAAGTATCAGAATAATGAGAAACAAAAACTAAGTAAAAATAAATTGTCTGCCAAAAGAATATATTGTGTTACTAATTTTTAATTTAATATTATGAAATCTATGAAATCCGTCATTATATAGAATACATAGGAATTGTACATAATTCCTAAAGAGCAATGGCAGAAAAATAGTTGAAAAAAATTATCGCGTCTAGAGATAAGTTATATATAAAATGAGTTTTATTATTTTTCTACGATTTTTCAAATAAAAATGTATTTTAATTAAAGCCACAGAAAAAAACAAACATTTTTGGGAATATCAAATGACTTAAATCATTTAACTCTATTCAAGTGTTGCTGTTTAGTATATTCATACTATTTTCGTATACACTTTGTAAGACTACCAACACAACACACAAAATATTTTTATATTAAGTTATTATTAGTAATAACTATACTATTAGTAATAATAAAAATAAAAGTGAAATTATTGAGAATAAGTCTCTTAAAAAGAATTTCCTACAATAATACATTATCTCAATCATAGTACTATGTAACAATTCCATTTAATGTTATGGCAACACTAGTTAAAACAAAATGTCACTGGATTTTCGGCGGGAAGTCAAGCTAAGCGGATGTTTTAATTTTTGCTGAATTTTCATTTCTTTTTATTTTGTATATTTTTTGTAAATTTCCGTGTAAATAGTTAATTAGTACATACCTATATATAGTGTAAATACAATGGGTCCAGATTCCGACGGGGGCCCGGCCCCCGCCGAGCAAGAATCAAAGAAAAGGAAATTGCATGATACTCGCAAAGGAAATGCCGTCGACTACAAAATTTTCACAAAAACAAATTACACGCGACAATTCCCAGAAAACCACAGCGTAGACTGCGTAGTCTACGTTGAATCACAAGAAAACGAAAAAATCGGTAACAAAAATCCAATAGCACTTACAAAGTTATTTACGGAAAATGTAAAAGGAATTGCTGGCGTCCACAGAGTGAACGCATATAAAGTGGGCATAACGTTCAGAAAACCAGCACCGGCCAATAACTTCCTTACCATGACACACTTTCTAGGTAAACACAAATTGAAAGCGTTCGTGCCGGCGCACCTCACTGAAATTACTGGAGTCATAAGATACGTACCTAAAGACTTAAGCAATGAAGACATATACAAAAGCATTACCTGCGATGCAGAAGTCATCTCCGTCAAGAGATTTATGCGAAAGGTAGATGGAAAGCTCACTCCGCTGGGGACCATTGCAGTGACCTTCGCTGCAACAGCGCTGCCGCAGCACGCCTACATACAGATGTTCAGATACCCGGTCCACATATACATACCTCCGTTACTACAGTGCTACAAATGCCTGAAGTTTAATCACTCTGCAAAAGTCTGCCGAGGTTCTCAAAGGTGTTCTTCGTGCTCTGGACAACACTCCTACAAAGAATGCGACGTCGAAGAAATTGTGTGCATCAACTGTCATGGTGATCACTTGGCCATCTCTAGGAACTGTCCAGTGAAGCAACAAAAGATGGAAGAGAAGAAGAATAAGTATCTAAAACCAAACCGATCGTATGCCACTGTGGTGAGTATCCCAGCAATGCCCGACCCGAAAGCATTCCCAAACCTTAAACCTGTAAAGACTGTTGATACTGACATAAATAAAGTATCATATAATGCTGAGCAAATACTAAACAACGAGTTAATTATTAATGCGCTAGTCAAATCATTAGTTATGCTTGGCAATGACAAGAGCAGCGCTCCGATTACAAATAAAAGAATTAAAGACATACTTTTAAGTAATTTAATAACATAATGGATACATATTTGAATATAGCACAATATAACATACAGAGCTTACAGAGCAAAAGGGCCTTACTTAAAAAATTTCTTTCGGAACAACATATAGATATCTGTCTCTTAAATGAAACCTGGCTTAAAACAACTAGTACAATTCCCGATTTTTCACCCTATAATTTTATACACAAAAACTCAGTAAATAAACATAACGGAGTAGGTATATTAATTAAACAAAACTTAAAATACACTATTGTAAATACAACTTTTTTCGAATCTGTGCAAAATATTTGCATTTCCGTAGACACAACTATGGGTAAGTTACATATTCTATGTGTATATTGTCCTCCCAATAGCAGCAGGTCTGCTACAAGCAAAATGAAAAAGGTGCTACTTGAAACTCCTAAGCCATGTCTTATTATGGGAGATTTTAATGCTCACCATATCCTGTTTGGATGTCAGACAAATAATAATAGAGGTAACAGTTTATATGCACTTATTGATGACTTTGACTTGTGTATTCTGAATGATGGTGACACAGCTACAACTGTCCAGTATCCTAACAGAAATCAGTCGGCAATAGATTTAGCTCTGGTTAGTTCCGCATTAGCTCCTCTTTGTGAATGGCACGTCCATGACGACCCGATGGGCAGTTACCACTACCCAACTGTGGTCGCTCTAAATGTGAAGCCTTCTGTATATGAAGTGCGTCCTGCGGAAGAAAAATACATTTATAATAAAGCAGATTGGTCTAAATATCAAGAACTATCAGAAACGAGATTTTGTAATTTAGAAATACATGGTACCGAACCTATTGATTTGTATAATAATTTTGTAAATATTTTGTATGATATTAGAGCAGAGACTGTTCCAAAGCAAACACCACAACAAACTTTAAGGGTAATGAGAAAACCTGCACCCTGGTGGAACCAAACATGTGATGATGCTGTTCGAAAGTCTAAGGAGGCCCTCAAAGAGTATAGAAAATCGCCTAGTATTCCTAATTTCATTAACTACAAAAAACTTGATGCTCAAAAGAAAAGGATATTAAAAGAAGAAAGTATTAATTCATGGCACAATTTATGTACTAGTTTTAATAGAATGACACCTATTTCTCGAATATGGAACTACATGAAAAGGTTTAGAAGGATAGGTTCTTCTCATAACAGATATTTGGCTGACGATTGGATACCAAGCTTCTTAGACAACATAACAGACTCATCACAGTTAAATGAAGATTATTTGAATGATATTTTAGATCAATCTGTTGAAAATGAAAGTAACTCATTTCTCAATAGACCATTCACACTAAATGAATTGTACATAGCACTCAAAAGTAGGAAAGATACAACACCAGGGTTGGACAGCATACCATATATGTTAATTAAAAAATTACATCCTAATGCGCAAGAAATGTTATTAAATATTTATAATAAACTTTGGAATAATTTAGCTATACCAAAGTCATGGAAAACCCAATGTGTAATCCCCATTTTAAAGCCAAATAAAGCTGCTAATGATCCATCATCATACAGACCTATTTCTTTGACATCATGTTTAGGTAAGCTTTTTGAAAACATGTTAAAGTTGCGTCTAGATTATTTTGCTGAAACACAGGATAAACTACCTCACATACAATTTGGATTCAGAAAAGGCAGAAGTTGCTCTGAAAGCTTTGTATCTCTGATATCGGAACTTAAAAAGGCCAAACTTAGTCATTCTAATGTTATATGTGTATTTTTAGATGTTAAAGGTGCCTTTGACAATGTTAATATTGAATGCCTCATAAAAGTTTTGCATGAATTGAACTTGCCAAGAAATGTATTAATCTGGATTTTAAATTTCTTGCATGATAGGACTCTTTTTGTTAAATTTAACAATAAACTACATGGACCTAGGCCTGTTAACAAAGGAACAATGCAGGGAGCGACACTTTCACCTTTGTTATATAATTTATACACATCTCAGATACTTAAATATGTAGATACATCACAAGTTAAAATATTACAGTTTGCAGACGACTTACTTTTATACAGTGAAAACCAGAATATAAATACAGCAATTAATAGAATTAATACTGCATTGGCACAATTGCATCTTTATTATAGCAACATTTTAAAATTAGAAATAAGTTCTGAGAAAAGTAAAGTTTTAGTATTCAGTAAAGACACATTTGTAAACTCTGGAATTAAAATTAACTATAATAATGATACAATTCCTATAGCCAATCATCATAAATTTTTAGGAGTTGTGCTAGATGATAAACTGAAATTTGATAAGCATATCAACTATATCTGTCAGAATGCCATGAAGAGCATAAATGTACTAAGAAGCTTAGCAGGAACCTTTTGGGGGTCTGATCCAAAAACACTTAGCATGCTGTATAAAAGTATTGTAAGGAGTCACTTTGACTATAGCTCTCTAGCTTACATGAATATTAGTAGCACATTGTTAAGAAAATTGGATGTGATACAGAATATGGGTCTGAGAATAATCAGTGGAGCCATGCGCACCACTCCTATTGTTTCTATGGAAGTTGAAAATTGCATACCTCCATTGTCCTTGCGGCGTTTGCAGTTAGCTGAAAGATTCTGTTTGAAGGAGTTGTCTTGTAACAATGATATTGTCCTGAGTAATATTTTATATCCTGCAGAAGTCTCCCAGTTAAATGGAACAGCCAACATCTCGGCTAATACTCTTATTTCGGGTACATTGCCTGAAATAACAACAATAACAACTTGTGTAAAGAATCAGACAAGAGATATGTACATCAGTAACAAGTGGCCTATTTACAAATGCCCATATGATACATTACTTAATTATCTTGATATAAAATGTCATTTAAATTCGGTTAGTACTAAGAATGAATTCTTAGAATTTTTAAATGAAAAGAAAGACTTTTACACTATATATACTGATGGCTCCAAGAGTGATCTTGTTAAAGCAGCATTTTATGACCCACAAATGAAAGTTATTAAATGTATTAAGTTGCCAAGTAATTGTAGTATTTTTACAGCAGAAAGTTGGGCTATATTAGCTGCTTTGTCGTATGTAAATACCAATGTAAATAGTGTAAATATCTTGATAGTTAGTGATTCTAAAAGTGTTTTATCTGCTTTATGTAACTGTAATTTAGTATATAAACAGAATTATATTTTGTATAAAATTAAGGATAAGCTGCAAACGATTGGAAAATGTATAGAATTCTTATGGGTTCCCTCACACAGTGGCATAGTCGGAAATGAGATAGTGGATCAGGCGACGCGGCAAGATCACCACGAAGACCAAACACAAGATTGTAAAGTCCCCTTCACAGATTATTATCAACACTTTAAAATCTTGTCAAAGAAACTGTGGAAGGATTACTGGAACATTACTACCGTGAATAAGGGAAAATGGTACGCAGAATTACAGCCAGACTTACCAACGATTCCGTGGTACAACCGCTTTAAATACACAGGCCGAAAGTTCATAACGACCATTAACCGCCTACGGTTTGGCCATTGCCTCGTCCCTGCACATCTGTACAGAATGAAGATCGTAGCTGATGACAAATGCACACATTGCGCTCAACATAATGCAGACATAAACCACATAATTTTCCAGTGCCCATCGTTTGGGATTCAAAGGTTGACACTTGTCAGTGAAATTAGTGATGTCGCTGAAGAAAATTCTATAAGTGTTCCCCGCCGCGTTCAGGATCTATTAACTGATGTAGCTTTTTTCATGCCTCTATTTAAATTTATACTTAATACTGTAGGAAAACTTTAATTATTTATGTGTCCTTAATTAATTGATAATGTTTGTAAATAGCTTCTTAGCTTATTTTGTAATTTAGTCTGTTCTATATTTATATAATAGGGAAAAAAAAAGTAGAAAAATGATGGAAAACCATTCTAAATTGTTATTGCTAAAGTTAAATATTCTTAATTTGATGTATGATTTGTGTTATACTGTAATGTTTCCGACTGAAGGTCCTCGCAACCATGGTCACGAATAAATTAAAAAAAAAAAAAAACAAAATGTCACTTTTTTTACTGGCTTTAAGGCTCTGGGTTCTAGCCCTTCTGAGAATGTCACTATAATACAAAGGACCTGGAGCCATGCCAAAAATATACATTTATAGTATGCAAATATATAATAGAGGTACAATAATCTAAAAACTCTCAATTATGTATTATGTATTAAGCTAACTTCAAACAACCACAGGAAGCATGACTTTTTCCAAGTGACATAGGACATAACCTAAAAAGGTTCAAATCTAAATATCTTTTTTTTGACGCCTTCTTAGGACAAAATTCCTTGACAGAGTTATTAAGGGACTGACGCTTAACATTTTAAGATATTTTTGATATATAGACGCTACCATTTCTTCTCAACTAATTTTATGTATGAAAGTCTGCCATTGTTCTTTCATGCATTTCCGGTAACATAATAAGAAACATGTACATATAATTAGTTAAGGTCACACGGAAAGTCTCAGATACATCGTCAATATGGTCACACTACTTCAGTGCGATTTCTTTTAAACAAAAACAATAAAATTGTTCAAAGTCAATTAAATTCAATGTAAAACTATTTGATTTTGACAAAGTTATAATTTACTAATATGTTTAAAACACTGATAAAACGTTTCAGCAAAAAATTAAGTGAAAATACAAAGAAGTATGTTTACAAGTATTCAACGCCAGAAGTTACTATTTAAACACTTACGTGTGAAATCTTATATCACTTCCTGGACATCAACTACTGCCGCAACCACGTAATACACTAGTTTGCACCATTTCTTGAATTATAACAATAATTATTTTTTGAATATCTCAAACGACGCTGTGAACTGTTAAGTAAACAACCGCCATATTTGTCGAATTTATGTTGACATATAGGACTAATGTTGCCACATTACCGAACCCTTAGGAAATGGGATTGTAATTCACTGATTCGTTAACCCAATAATGCATACGAGACCTTCAATTTTGGAATTTTTAATGTAATTAATCGTAGTTAAACTATTTATTTATTGGAACATTATTTTACAGAGCTTAACTACTGATTTGGTTATTGTGGAAACTATTCCTAAGAATTTACCAGGAGATTTAAATAAAAACTTAACAATACTGTATTCCACACTAAAAAGAGAAGTCAGACCACAGAGAGTGAGATAAAGATACGTAGGTATTTGACTCAAGCTGTTGTTCCAAGTGTGGCCTCCATCTTTATCTATAACTTCATGGTAGGTAGATTACAATAAAATTTCAATTTCTGACAATCATTTTTAATTTCTAACAAGAGAGTTAAAAATGTCTTGTGTACAGTCACGAGCAATAATATGTAAACAACATAGGACTATATTATATTATATTTATTGTAGACTTTTGTGGCACAAATAGTTTTGTTTCGGAGCGCTAATCGTGACAGAGTTCTATGTTCTTTACATATTATTGCTGGTGACTGTACGTTATTGAATTAAAAAAAATAAGTTTCGAATTAATCAACCAAAAAAGTAAATGTCTATATTTGGGGTTCACTGTCTTTCGTCGTTAATTCCGAATATTTTTCAGTGGTGCCCATTTTATGCTTTATAAAATACGGTTATAGCAGCATTTACCACTTTTCCTGAGGTAGTCACTAATGCAGAGGATTGAGTTCAGAGTTATGAAACTCAACCAACCTTTAAATTCGTCCATATTTTTCCACTTCGGTCAATATTTCTGTGCGTACGCTTTTTTTTTTAAAGATAATCCGTTTTCAAATAAAATTAATTTATATGGATAAAACAAAACAACACAAGGTGGAATACGAGTAGCGTGTACTACTTTATTTAGTGGTAGATTAGTGAGTAATCTGACGTAACGCAGCAGGAAACGGAGAATTCCCGGCCAACACCGACCTAAACCTACCATCGCAACTATGACCATAGATTCGCGTTAAGTTTTTATTTTTTCTTTCGAGTCTCGGTACCCTCCTCTACGAATCTCGATAGCGTCACGTCCCATGATGAAATGAAAAGTTGCTAGAAAAATTGGTAAAAAGTTTAGCTACAAATTTCATTAAATTGTAGCTGTCCGTCACCAAAAAATAGCTATATCTAGCTATAAAGTTGCTAAGTTGGCATCACTGTCGACGTAGACATAGACATTAGTTTTTTATATAATTGGGTTCATGGCTCTGGGTTGTAGCCCTTCTGAGCCTGAAGTTAAAATGTATAATTATACTTCATACTACACTGCTTCACAATAAGTTGATGCGTCACATTGTGCAGCCCTTGGGAGATTTTGACGGTAACTTGAGGCAGCAGACAGCTGACAGTTTGCAACGGTATGTCAAGGCGCCTTAGCAGACAGACATCATATCTTGAGAATCGCATCACCATCAGAGCACTTGTTTCATCGTTTCCACAGTTCCTATGCACAGACAATACACAAAATCACTTTTACATATCAAAACCCACTTCAAAACGTTATTGTGTTTTATATGTATTATATTGTGGGGGAAGCGAGAGAGGTGTGTCAGGAACGTGCCAAATGGAAGTCCATAGTCTCTGCCTACCCCCCTGGGTGACAGGCGTGAGTGTTTATGTATGTTTTTATGTAATACAGGAGCAGTAATCCGCCGCCGGTCAAGTTCCCGCCAAAACTCCACATAGACATTAGATTTCTTTTAACTGGCTTTACAGCTCTGGGTACTCGCCCTTTTCAGCCTTTGACATTAGATTTTTTATTATGTGCGTTACGGCTCTGGGTTCTAGTCTTTTTAAGCATGACGTTATATGTTTATTTATCCGTCATAGTACATTGCTTAACAATATGTTGATGCGTCACATTATGCAGCCCTTGGGAGATTTTGACGGCAACTTGAGTCAGCAGCTGACAGTCAGCGATGGTATCTCAAAGCACCTAAGCAGACAGACACCTTAGCTTGAGAATCACATCACCATCAGAGCACTTGTTTCACTGTTTCCACTAATAGTTCATATGCACAGACACTTACACAAATATAAACAAATGTAAACAAATATAAACAAGAAGCCATATAATATAAGAAAACACGAATTAAGTAAAATATTGTTACGAGCATGGTGTTCGAGACAGTTAAAAACTGCCGATTGAATTACCAAAATTGACACTTTAATTACAGAACACTAATTACAACTTAAAACCACACTAATAATAATACACAATTGTACTACTGATCACATTAGTTCGTAGTTGTATCGCTTCCAAGTATTCGCTTGTATCGCCAATTCAATCATGACTTGGTCGCGGTCTATACCATATTTATTTATCTATGGTCTATACCGGACTTATATAGGGCCCCAAACAGTGTAATTTCTTCTTTTCTTCTTCTTCTTCCTTTATGGCGGTTACGATGAATTCGCCAATGACATGTTACATGTGAGAAGGTTTAATTGGGACACAAACTCTGCTTAAAAAAGGAAATTGATAATACAAGAAATGGTAACAAACGAATATTATGTGAATGATTTTGGTCAACTTAACTGCTGAGTCACCTAAAACAAAAGACAGACAATGTTGTTAGAACAATACAAATGTGTTATTATGTGACAAACAAATTATAGTTTAATGTTGTTAGAGTTAATAAAATCACATAAAATATATACAAAAGAGGTATTTGTGAAGATTAGAAGGGAGTTAAAGTCTATGGGACGAGAGATGTCAGGGGGCAGATAATCGTAAAGAGATGATGACAATTTGGTGCAGTTAAAAAAAAATATGATTAGTGTTTCCCTCATCTAAACCACATTCGCACAGAGAACTATCCCTAATCCTGAGTTTAGCTAGGTGAACATAGGTACAGGCATGTCCAATTCTCAACCGGCAGACAATAGAGGTGGCACGTTTGTTTGCTTTATTAAATATGAAAAACCAAGGTCTTGATGGAATATTATCTTGTATAGCAGCATAGTACTTGCCTTTTAGTATTTGTGATGCTTTCCATATCTCATTCCACGTATTAACAAGCTTTTTCCTAGCAAGTGACAGCAAGTCATGGGAATAAGTAACATTTAGTGGGGTGCCATTTCTAGTAGCCTCTTTGGCACACAAATCTGCTTTATCATTTTCACAAATACCACTATGACTAGGTATCCAGGCTAAACAGACAGAAATCCCTTTAAGATGACACCTATACAGAATGCTTTTTATATCAAGAATTAGGGGAAATTTATATTTACTTTGAAATTGGTTAGCCAAAATAGCAGATAAACAACTCTTAGAATCGCTAAAGATCACTGTCTTGTCTAGGCTATGTGATTCAATATATAGCAGAGCTTCATGGATTGCAATTGTCTCAGTAGTAAAAATGGAACGTAATGAAGGGCACTTAAAGCTAAGGATTATTTTAAACCTGGGGATCCAGACAGCAGCACCAGTGCAGCCACCATCAGTATTTTTGGATGCATCTGTATACATGGTCATCCAATCTTTCCAATTTTTCCCTATGGCTTCTTTTAATTTTAAATCTGCTTCAGGGGAACCTTTTCTAATATCTAGGTCAAGGTGAATGTTAGGTTGATATATAATAGCTTTGAAAGGAGTATTAAAGAGTGGACTTGTATTGCATGAGAAAATGGGCCCAGGAATTTGGAGAAATGAGACTAAGCTATTAAATAAATGTGGACAATCTTTATGGAGCCAGTACCTACTTGAAGATAAGAATTCTGAGAGGAGGTGTAACCTGGGAATTAGGGGATGAGAAGAGAGTTGACAGATCTTAAAGAAGAATCTGTCTGAAAGATATTGTCTTCTTATGTTGAGAGGAGGATCTACGCACTCTACCTGAAGGGCATTAATTGGGGAAGATTTCATTGCACCAATTATAATGCGGAGACATTTGTACTGTATTTTGTCCAAAGTTTTAAGTGACGATTTATTGCAAGGCTCTAAAAGAAAGCATCCATAATCTAAATGACTACGAATTATAGCATTATATAGTAGCTTTTGTGAAAAAGGATGAGATCCCCACCACACTCCTG